ACTGCTGACAATCCCAAAGGGGGAGGGGGAGGGGCTATCCTGATGAGGAATCGAGCAACAGCTGGCGGGATGTGATAACTGTGCATGGGAGCCGAACATGGAAGGTATTACTGCAAATAGAGACGCGTGTAAACACATCTCTTTACAGGGAAGAAAAATGCGCTGTCACCCCCGAGGATCAATATTGAAATATGGGATATAATCTTGGATTACTTCCTCTAAAATTACATGGCACAAGATATGAAAAGGCATTAAGATTGAAGAGCTGGGATAAAACAGGGACCGAGATACCGAATACATCTTAGAGTCCGCGGCAGGGGTGTGCAGAGACCTTCGGAGGGGCAGGTGCTCAAAGTTGAAAAGGGGCCACATGGGACAAAATTCTAATTTGTGTCCATTCAATTTATAGTTCCTTACCCAACAGTTGGGGAAGCAAATCAAGAGCTAAAGACGATGTACGGGATAATCATAGTCAGATTGAATTTTCTTTTAGGCTGATAATAAACTACACAGACATTCTCCAAAACCAGAAGAGAATACTATACGGACAATTGCCTGGAAGCACACCAACCAGTGTGGTTTACAGCAAGAGTGGAAAGTTGCTCGGGAAAATTTAAACCACAAATTAGTATTTTGGTCCATGCTTTGTTCTCAGCTTCACAAAACAGGTGAGCCGTGACCGGTCGTTACCTGAGCTCTGAGTCACTGTGATGTCATTTTCAGTTGACAGCAACTCGCAAAATTACCGCCCCTGAGATGATGTATTTTGCTGCTTAATTCATGTTGCACAAATGCAATATTAATCAGAATACTGTGTTCAGGCCAGTAGGGCTGCACAGAAAATATTGTTTAAAAAATAAAAATAAAAAATTGCATTGACTTCCCCTTTAATTGTTTCAATGGCAGTAAAAGTGTGTGTATAGGAGGGAAATAAGAAGGGGGATATGTTCGGGGTTGCGACTGCCTGATGTAGCCACTGCTTCTGACCCTTTGCGCAGCAGATGCTGGCCTCCCCTCCACACTTTTATCCATCCACTTATTCAAACGCATAGAACATGATTGATTCCTAAAGTAGTACGGTAGTAGATTGGGGCTTGTTGAGTTACATCACATTTTACCAGTATAAGGCTAGAGAAAGACTTTCACCAATAAGCCCATGCAATCTATGTATATATGTACGCACGCACACGCACACCGGTATATATGTATATACAGTATGCATACATTGATTTGCACGAGGTTTTGTTGTAGACATTACAGGGAGTCAACGTGTTTCTTGCAAATCTCCCATCTCGTGAAAATTCATTGCTCAATTGCCTCCTCGGTACTTCTTTAAATGTGCCTTATTGGAAGGCAGAAATGAAGAGGGTAATTATGCAAATGATTGCCTTCACTGCAGATTTGACATAACTAACTATACTGCATCGTGCATGTTCCTGCTCTCTTCAATGAGAGTGACACTAATGTTTGGAGTCAACCTATCTCTTCCTTTGATAGCTGGCGTATCTTACAGCACACAAGTACACGTTCCTGAAGAAGAAACCAATTCTACAGATGATTGAGAGCAAAAAGGAAGCGGCTGTACTCTTCGATGCCTATACATCGCCGGCTCTGTCCTCATTCTTGCCCTCAATTCCCAAAGCAATCTCAAGTCAGTGGTTCTATTAAAACAACACAGCCTCATGCAAATTGCCACTGTCAAGCCTCTTGGTTTTATTTCTTGTCCTGAAAACAACTCGATGCTTTAATGGAGACCGCGTCGTGGAAACTTTGCACCACCGGGTAGGATCAATGATATCTACGAAACAATCTGACAATGGTTCGTTGGCCCACATCCATGTAAAATGAGGATAAAGTGACAATGAATGGATGAACACTTAATTGAGAGTGGGTGTAAACAAAGCATGTAATTACAGCTAAGGGCAACAAATCTAAGCTCACCTATGCAGCTTTCCAGTCTACGTGTTTTGCTGCCGGAAATTAATTATCCTAATTGGCAGGTGGCAGCATGCGCCATTGTTTGCTATTGCAGCTAGCAACTGTTAATGACCCACCACACACGCCGAGTTTGCTTCTACTCATCCATGATGGGGGGGGGGGGGGGGGGGGGGGGGGGGGGGAGACAACACTTCTCTTAACCTCACTTCTATCTCATTTGTTTAAACTGAAAACCTTTTAGAGCAGTATGACTCATTTAACCGGTTGCCGTTTTGTTCTCTCAGCACCATTCAATAACGCATCACGTTCATTGGCTGTTATGTACTGGCTGTTTGCATGCAACAGCATTAAAAAAAATAAAAATAAGAAGAATACTACTCCTGATCTTGTTATCAAATACATGCTATTTCAAATGCTAAAGTTTGCTGCTTTTCTACCGGTCTCGTGTCACATGGTTTATTTTTCAGTTTCGCTCACGTTAGGATCCATTATGGATATCGATCGTCATGGAAGCGTGTGTATGCGACTGCGTGCATGTGTGTGAAATAGTCGATCATGGGAGGGTGGCTGATTGAGAAGTAGATCTTGGGTCAAAAAAGGATGGACAATCCTGCAGGAGTTCACTCTTTGAGTACTCCCTGGTACAGAGTACAGATACCTGTGGAGCTTTTGATATGAGGAATTTAATGTAGCACAATGACAAAAAATAAAATAAAATATTGGGAACAGACCTTTCAGATGATGGTTAGCCAAAGTGTCAAACTGCTGCAGCATTGTGCCAACTACTGCCAAGGAGGATTTGCTGAATGTCAATTTTTTTTTGCCTTAAGTATCAGTGGCTGGTATCTGCAACCACCATGAGTAAAATAAGGCCGGTATCGGGCATATATTGATACCGGTATCGGTACTCGCCCATCCCTATCAGCTCGTGTCAACGGAGCGGAATTCAATGCCAGTGCCCGATCAAAAATTATGCCACAATGTGTGTGTTCAATGGAATACCAAACAAATAGTCTAAAATCCTGTAAAGTAGTGCGAAGCTGTGCTTAAAGCAGCTGAACACCACCAAATGTTAATACTGTATTGCGCTTTACAATAAACAGTGGGAACCATTCCTCGCAGCCTCTCAACTTAAACGTGAGACCTTCTAAGATTTTAGAGAACTACAGCAGGCCTGGAGCTCCACTGTCAGTCATTATGTTAATTTGCTGTGGCAGATTAAAAAGTAAGCAAAAGAAATACATTGTAAATAGTTTCACACTGCATGCACAGACTAATCTGTCCTAGTTACTGTGAGGCTAAATAAGAAATAAGCTGAAGATGCTTTATTATATGTATGCTACATTACGTTCTTTAGTTCATTTGAAAAGATTTTGCATGAGCAAAACAGCAGACAAGTTATCTTACCTCTGTATTTTCTCCATTTTGTCTTCCTTTCTCCAGTGTGCAGTATTAGTGATGCGTTTATCCTATAAGCTGGTTCTACAGAGTTCTTTGTTTTCCTTAATTAGAAGGCAAAGCGCCCTATTTGCATTTTAGTTACGTGTTTTTTTTCTCATTAGACTAATGGCTTAACATTGAAAAATGAATAATAATTTTTGTCAACAGGGTTGAGGGCTGTGTGGACAGACAATTTAGAAGCTTATTGTTGATAGCTCGCCGCCGTCTGTTTGGCTGCATGGCATATGCAAAACTTGACTTGACGGTGGGTGGCGGAAGGCGATGGATGGAACATGTTAACTTTTGTTGTTGATACGCATGCGTGAGTCGATAGGTGGCCGCGAGTGGGATTCCGCCCCTCAGCCTCTCCATTTTACCTGTCACTGCTCACTGGCCACCACTACCACAAATTGCCAGTACAGCTACACCATACAACCAATGTAATACAAATCACAGTAATACGCTATGAGCTGATTTTTTTTTTTTTTTTCAATACATAAGGGTAACCCGTGTCCAAAAAAAAAATGCTCTTTACAAGTGAACAAATGTATTTGAAATGAAAATTAACAGCCAACTAAGTGGAAATGATTATAAAGTAGTGTTTGTATCTATTGCACATATTGATACACATTGGAAGTATACTAATCCTGTAGTTTTAATTTGCTGCTCCCACCCATCAAATTTTGAATAGTGAATAGAAGTACAAAATACTAAAACATGCAGTTTCTGAGTACATTTACTTGTCCTGAGACCAAATAAAAAAAAAAAACTGAGCAAAGTAAGCTTGGAAATAGTTTTTTAAAACACCATATACAATTGGAGTGCTCCAGAAAGTGACATTTTTCTCTTGCCCCCCACCTCTTCAATCACCAAATTCAATCTCAAATAACACTGTTAAAATTTTAATAGCATTTTGGGGGTATTTTTTGTTTGATTGCTGTCTCTAACTGCAAGAACATTGGTTTTAATATCTCAAATTATAATTATACAAACATTGGTTTTAATACTTCAAATCATAATTATTACACGTGGAACGTGTGTCAAACAACATGCACGTAACCCTGTTATCATGATAACCTTTTTAGCCTGGTAGAAGAAAGCAGTGAATCACATGATATGCTGGACTTCACCTGAAACTATTTTCCAAAAGAATGGATAGAGCAAAGGTATGTCCTCTCTTCTATTATCATATTTTAATAAATATTTTGTCTTGATTGAATGACTTATGCAACCCTGTCATGCATATGATCAGAATACGATTTTTTTTCCTTTACTTATTTACATAAATAAGTAATTACTTACGGTACTTATGGTCAGGAGTAAGAGCAAGCTAAACAATGAGCGTCTACTCCTTAGAGAAAGTTAACATGTGCAACCTTGTTATGTTAAAATTTAGCCTTGACATGAGCCAGACACAGAAATGCAAAAAAAAGTCATGATTAAACTGGAACTGGTTCTAAAATGTGTTACTGGCATAAAGCGGCACGGGCTGTGATAATTCCAACGCCAACGGCAAATGACAGCAACCACGTTCAAAACAAACAAATAAACAAAAAAACTAATTGGGAGTCCAAGACAGCATCCGTAGCACTGATGACTCACATAAAACAAGGGAAGCAGCATGATGGTGAGACAGATTTCTTATTCAGGTGGGCAGCTGTTTACAAATGATGGGATACACTTCTTACAACAGGCGCAGTCAACCAAAAGTGACAACGGCAGGCTTCGCTCAGCTTTAACATCATGTGGAGGAAGGGAAAGAAAACCTGCCAAGCTTTGACATGGTATGTAATGGCCTCTTTAAAATAACAGCAAGACTCTTTCGTTCTCTTTCTTTCTTTTTGTGCAAGATCCTGGCAGAATTACAATATAAACACTGAACGTGTGCTCATGGTAGCTGAGATAAATCAGGGTAAGAGAATGGGGGCATATGCACATCCAGAATCCGGTTGCTCGTCTTGGAGGTCACAGATCTTCCCAAAGTGCTCACAGCATCTTCCTCTTCTCAAACTCCTGAAGACAAGACGGGAAGGAGAAAAGCAACAGGGAGTGAAGTGACACAGACAGAAGGGAATTATTTATTTGTGTTGATATCTCCCGGCTCTTTTGAAAGAGGGGAAACAGGCTGCGAAAGCAGAAGAGAGCCTGTTTATAGATTCCCTAGAGTGGACCTCACATGCCTGCCGGTTCACGACCAAGTTGCTGCTGTGAAATCTACTCACGTTCCGTGATTGATCGGGACAGCTCGCGCCGGCGATAATCTAATAGATGTGAGACTACGATTGCTTTGTATGTAAAAATTGGACCACGGGACTATAAATGAGAAGCATTATGTTTGTTCATTTATTTTTTTTAATCTAGCTATTTACATATTCAATTTCAGACCTATAACACAAAAAAGTAGGATGGTAGATTATGCCCTTCCCTTGAAAACTTCTCTTCCATGGGATGGTGGGCAGTAATTTAATGCAAATGCCATTTATCAGGTCCGCAGAACACACAAGGACTCACTGCAGGGTCCATTCCAATGAGTCTTGGGAGAGACCTAAAAGGTATACAGTACTGCCACCCCGAGGAGACTTTGGGTCAATGTTTCAAATGCCTTCAAATCCTTTAAAGCCTTTTGCTGTTCTGGGAATGGGCAAATGAATTAAGAAACCTTTTGGCGGGTCAACATGGGAGTTGTGCTTGATTGCAAGCAGCTGCTTCAGCAAGGAGTCAGTAGGGCCCAGTCATGTGGGACGAGGCGTTCAAAGAAATAACAGTATAATGGCATGGAAGGAAAAAAAGGAATAAGAGATAAGGAAAGATGGTTGTGTTTGCACACAGATTAGTCGGGAGTAAAACCACAATGTTTGTGAAATGCGGGAGAGGGACTTTGACAGGAGATCGACATCTAACAAGTGAAGGGGTAAAAAAAATGAGGAGATGGAGGATGCCAGTCAAAAAGTGATGCCAGACAATGTCTTTAATTGAAACGGCAGCGAGAGCAAGAAAATATGCCAGGACGGAAGTGCAACACATTGAAACGAGTGCGATGGCAAGCGCTCGGCCCACCTGTGCCAGAAAGCGTGACGCAAAGTGCATCAGACTCAATTTCATGTAGCAAAATTGACCCGAGCAAGAGTGCGTGTACGAGTTTGTAAACAAAAGTTGTAATTATTCTTGCCTATTAATGACATCGTCAGATGAACACATTTTCTGATATCGCCTCCCTGCACCAGAGGCGTTGCTCATTCCAGTGGCTATCACAGTAAATAATGCATATTTGAATGAGTTTCAAACGATGTCATCCACAAAGAGCTTGGGAAATATGAAAATGAATGGTCGAAATTTGAGAAGTTTAGACAAACATCTAAATTACTGCTACGTACTGCGGCACAAATTCAAATCTCATCATTGAAAACCTATCATATGCATATTCTTTTTTTATTGTTCCTTTCATGAAAGTAGGGTGTACAATAGAAAATGATGTTTGTTCTATGTTCATTACTCATCCTTATGTCCATCTGTGAAATACAAGAGGCAAACGTGAAAATGACACTATACCACAGAGCCATGGAAACGCTGAAAACCGTGAAAACACGCCCCGTGCGTGTTTTCTATCTAGCCCTACTTTACCATAATAGCTGGTGCTTTGAAGCATTTGTGCAGATCATCTCCAGCCAAGTGTACACTTAATGAGACACTAGTTAGTCCAACATAGTCAACTTTCATGGTAATGTCTTCATTCATTTCACAAAGGTAGAACTTGAATCGTAATGAAACTGCGCAGTGTGTCAAACTGATTGTTGATTTATCATGTCCTGAAGCACTAATAGGCTACAACCAGAAGAGGTACGCACTGCTATGTTTGAAAAGTGACAATTAAGGGCGTAATTAAGAATGAATTATCCCAAAAGGGCAATTACAAAAATGCCAAATAACCAGCACTAGACAAAGCAATTTGTCGGAATGTGTGTAGTGCATCACAAGTCATTACAATGTAGATTACACGATGAGAAAAGCAAGGGGAAAAATTCCATTACCATATTTAAAGGCCTGCAAAATATACATTTAGTGGCCTGTATTGATGTTCACTATGATGATGAATTTTGTATCAGAGTGCCTCTTAATGTAAGACAAGTGTGTCTTATTCTACACTTACATCGAGAGTATCTTCCAGGATTTTAGGGGAGCATAGCGCCTCCTCATATCTTTGAACAACTTCCATTACAGTGGTCTATGAGAGGGGGGGGCAAAATGTGCAACCACATTGCGCGTTTTTCACTATTACACTCAATGATAATGAATTAAACTGAGGAGAGAGAAAAAAAGTGTGTGTGAGTGTGTGCAAATCAATATCTGCATATGGAAGAGCCAGCAGTGGTAATGAAAGTGTAAGATGACGAATGAGTGTAATACATGTATTCCACATGTTATATATCCTTTTAACAACGCTTCTCCTGAGATGTGCTGAAATAAAGACAGCAGACCTAACTCACCCACTGTCAAACGTGCATATATTACATTCTAACCTTCTTTATGGTATATTAAATTTTCCAGCTCATACTTTGTACTAATAGATGATACAGTCTCGGTTCCAAGTAAATCTACAAAGGAGCATTTTGTATCATTTTGATTTTTGCTTCGATGTATTAAACTGTATTGGTCTTAGACAGCTTACTGAAAAAGTTTTGCCAATACCATTTCATTCTTAAAAAAGCTTACATCTTCAAGTTGAACATATACGGTTCTCCCCCGAAATGAAACTACTAATGAATATAATCCGTATAATAATCTGTTTTTCCCACTGAAGAAAAAGAAAAAAAAAAAAGTTATTTAGCCCCTATTCAAGGAAAGTGACAGTATACAACTATGACTTATTCGTAAATATAACAGCTTCTATCCACCCCCCTTTTGCCTCCTTTGATTACTTTCAAGAAAAAAATTAAGATACACCCTAACGTTTTCGAATACTTTTAAAACAAAATTTGAATTTTATCCGCGTGGACTCATGCACTCCATAAAAAGAAGGGTTTGTATTTTTCAGAAAAGACTCACCTTGAACATTGTGCTGCCCAGCTGGGCGGGGGACATGCTGACCACAACTCCAGCTGACTGCAGGGCAGCAATTTTCTCTTTGGCGCCTCCTTTTCCACCAGCAATGATCGCACCGGCATGGCCCATCCTTCGCCCGGGAGGAGCAGTAAGCCCAGCGATGAAGGACACCACGGGCTTGGCGTTCGCACCCTGGACACGTCAGCAAAGGGAGAAATAAGGAAAATAAGAGAAGGTGAAAAGACCCACTAAAAAGGATAATTAGCTCATCTCCGAGGGCGAGGACTTTTACAAACCGTCCTAATGGTGTGGTCATAGACAGCACAGAAAGAAATATAGGAGAGAGGGAGTGTGCATATATCAGAGCAATTTGTTTTCTGCACCTGCATTTTATTCATTCATTACAAATTAAACAACCCGTGTCCTCCCATTACAGAGCCCTGATGATAAGAGTCTTATCTGAGCAGCCGTCTCTGTCTCAGCCCGCATTATTAAAACAAAGGGTCAATCAAGCAGTTTAATTGCATGGGTTGGTGGATGACCAGATAGGGGCCAAGGCGCCTGCCATCTCAAATCATCTAGCTTCTGAGATGGTAATTAGTCATGCAGCGGCCACTGATTAGCTCAGCGCCTGTCTGTCTATACTGCTTGCTCCTTGATGGATGTTGCGCTCAACAGTTTAGATCATTTCCAAGGTGAGGAACACTAATATTTCATCCATGGCAATAACACCGTAGCTGGAAAGAGGGACAGCGTGCACGTGCGAGTACTCAAAATACGATTCATATCAGACTTGAAACACATGCGAAGCCCCACACGGCATAGAAATTCAAAGAAAACCAAAGCATCCTGGTGTGGGTCATTTGATGTCTTGCAAGCTCTGGTTTAGATCCTCCGATTGAATGTAAAATACCTCTATACAATGGAAGATTACTATTTTGCTGCTAAATCCGCCGAATGTGCAGATTCTGCAACGGCCTTGTTTCGCACACTTTCTTTGCTCTTTCCCTTGAATGGTTTCCATTGCCTGGCTTTAGCTGTCCATGCACGGCAAACATGAAATGCCGTTTGTAACTGGCCGGCCTTAACATTTAAGGAAAAGGGTAGAAATAACGTTTGCAACTGCCTAAGCGGTAAATGCAGTCGCGAGCGCTGCAAATCTATATAGTTGATTTTGCGCTTCACATCTTAAATGCTCAAATAGACTGACATGATAACGATATAACAATCAGCCCGTATAGCTGAGGCCCATTGCATCATTGGACAGGAATCTTGCATGCTTGTCATTCTTCGTACTTTTTTTTTCCCAGACAGCTTTCAAACAATCAATTGTTTAGAGGATCATCCGGCTGAGGCGGCGAGGAAGTACTAACATTGCTACAATACGTCGTCTAAGGAATATAATGACTCACAGATGGCGAATAATTCATGGATAGGCGGTAGCGAGAACAGGGTGCATGGGGCTGAGCATCTTGTCACAAAAGACACAATCTGCTTTTATTATTTTCTGTCAAATCCCGTGCTGAAAAACTAACCGCGCTCGCAGTTCCCGTAAGTCAAGTGTTCTTTGTATGATGCAATTGAATTACTCGATTAGTGTGCCACCCTGGACACCACAAGTTCATACCTTTAGAAAGGAGTTACATACCAACAATACCTTTCCCTTTTTGGAGCTTTCTCCTGCAGTAAGTAGTTCAGTGGGAGTGGTTTATTCAATAAACAAGATTAAAAAGTGCGACTAATACCCCAAATATGACTTGATGAAATACTGACATGGTTGTATCCACATTGCACGCCTGGCATTTATCTAGCAAAGTCGTGGTGCAGCTCCCATTAGTATGCGATGTTGTTTCCTCAAAATTACAAAAGGTTTTATGTAAGCTTGAGGGAGACAAGCTGGGCGAAAAGTCATGAAGCTGAAATGGGATGAAAGAAGTAGCACTAAACCTTCATGGAAGCTTGGGCGAAAGATACTCAAGCAAATTATCATACGCTTATCCTGTGTAAGACCTTATTTCTGGATTTGGGAATCCAGCAAAACCCCAGCAATGCTTGGCAGACCTTTGATACAAGTGGTTTTTAATACCATATCATGTTGGCAAGCGTGGCTGAAATTGATATCCAGTGAACCTTGAAACATGCCCTTCATTATAAAATCTGACAGCAGAGCCAAGAGGAGGGTACACGGTTGTTTTCTTGGATTTTACACAATTATGGTATCGACACATTAACTCTATCTCCGGCCATTTAAAATCGATGAACAATGAAACTTTGTTTCCCCTGACGTGACAAAAAAGTATGAGCCATAAATATTGTTGATTTGACAGAAAGTGTAGTCTGCATTCTGTGGCTCTGGTGCAAAATGCCGAGATTCAAATGCTCTACAAGTATATTTTGAACATGGAAAAGGGTGGTCTTGAATGATAGTTGACTGATTTCAAAACCATCAATTTGTTGTGTACAAGTAATAATACAATGACACGATTAAACATTTATTCGGTTCCACTGTCGTAATGGCCCTCAAAAACTTAACTCCAAAGTGGCCCGCAAAAAATGAGTTTGACACCCCAGACCTAATACCACTTAATTGTTCAGAAAAACGCTGTAATTTATTATTATTAACTTACACCAATACAAATATTATATCATGGTTTATCTATCTAGGTCAATGATTCATAATGATGGCATGACAAGGAAATATTTTTCCAATTGACGGCACAAGCGTGACCAGTTATATGATATGCGTAATGGTTCAACCAAACGAGCAGATTTCACACATGAAGTAATTTTTTTGTCATATTTGTTAGGTGGTGTGTAGATTTTATAAAAATGTGCTTCGGCTCAAGAGGTTGGGAAGCACTGATCGAGTCATCTGACAAACATTAAGAAAACCCACTTGAACTTTTAAAATGAACCTTGATTATAAGTTACATAAAACACACACACACACACACACACACACACACACACACACACACACACACACACACACACACACGTAAAGTTCTAAAACTGCAACTGATCAATTTCTGGCCACACAGTTCAAAAGGTGACTCACTACATTAAGCTGTATAGGTATGACGTAACCTCTATATAAATGTGTGTGTTTCAGGGTGAATGTTGAAAACTGAAAAACTAGAAGGCTGGAATTAATTCTTGCTGATTAATTACTTGTTTGTGTTCAACTCACAGACTCTTATATGTAATTTCTGACTTTTTGTTGTGGTCTCTTTAAAATAAGCCGAGGAGTAATTTTCTTTTGTTGTAAAAATGTTGACTTGGAGTTTTGCACTTGTTATTAAGTACAACACTTTCTGTGCCATGTTCTACACGTTTGGCTTTCAGTGCAGGCTATGTTACCTACTCTCTTGCTTGCTTCATTTGAACTGTGCCGCACTGTCAACACTTTGGGTGACAGGCTGTGCTGGTTGTTGTTTGTACTTATTTTGGGGAGGGAGAGAGGGAGGGAGAAAGAGCGAGACGGAGAGAAGTTATTCCCCTGAGACGCTTGCAGGAGATTTGCATGCATTAAGAGTTACTGAGGGTAAATCAAATCAATTTCTCAGCTTCAGCGCACCATATACACACTAAAGAAAGAGAAACAAAACACACACATGCAAGAAGGAGCAAAAGCGCGGGTCTTGCCTGGATTTAAAAACGTCTATTACAGTTTCTTGCTGCACAAGCGAATCATCTCGCTGCTCTATACGGCCACAAAAGACGTGTTGCTCAACAACACGGTACATTTGCGAAACATGCCCCCTGAGTAGAAAGCTCAAACACCCATCTGCCATTCCTCATTTTGATCACGTTAATCGCATAGACTTTGCAGACAAAAGAGGGGGAGGCCCGAAGCTGCGACCTAGAAGAAACACTGCCAGAGATCACACTGTGTTGTTGACTTAGGCTTTGCTGTATGCCATATTTGCAGGATGTACCTTGTACTGCGACTGTTAAAGAAGGGGAAGCAAGACAGCAGGTGAGTAAATAAGTCGGTGTCCCTTACCGAGTTGTGTTGTTTAAGATACTCTGCTGCATTCTCCTCTGCATTGCCCCCGATCTCCCCAATCAGGATTATGCCCTCCGTCTTGGGATCCCGCAGGAACACCTCCAAGCAATCGATGAAGTTCGTACCGTTGAACGGATCCCCGCCAATACCTTTGCAGGAGACAAAGCAAATGTGTGTCGTGTACCCGTGGCTCTCTCAGGGGCACTCGTGTGAATATTTGAGGACCACATGGCAGCACAGCCAGAGAACCAAATGCAAATCAGGCGCAACGAACTTTAAGCCTCATACGGTCTGATCATCACAGGAGCAGCGGGCTCTTTCACGGCTCCTTCATTGGGGATTTGTGAAAACAATTCAGCACAGCCGGAATGGCTTCTGGTGAGCAAACGAAATATTAATAGATGGATTTACTTTGAGCATCATTTTTTGTGTATTCTACATCTCAAGTGTATTTCTTTATTCTGCCTCATCAGGCTGTGTGCCGACTACTACGTTTAGCGACTTCCCAGAGCAGTGAGACCTCCTTACCTTTCGCACACTACGGTACTTTTCATTTCAATTCAGTGTGGACTGAAGATTATAAACTCTTGGTTCCCAATATTGCTTTTGAACTCCTTCTCGTTTTTATGATTTTAGGGTCCGCTTTTTTGTCTACGAGATGATGTTTACTTCACTTTAACAATTACCATCTTACAAGTCTTTCCAGGTATTGCTGAGGGAATTATCTGCCCCTTTCAGAGCTAAATGTTAAAATTTCAAGACTTGGACTGGGTACTTTTTAAGTAGGGCAAACAGTTTTATAACATCAATCTGAAATGGCGGGTGGGGTCAGAGTTGAACAAACAATGAGGGGGACTGTCACTGAAGATCCTACATGATATTAATGAGCTACAAAGGGAGATGAAAAGAGAAACCCTCAAGAAATAGATCTGTATTTCTCGAAACGGCCAGCAGGATTTCAATCACCCAGAGAACGTTTACTAGTTAATTTAGGCTGCTGGCATAAAGTCTTTTTCAAACAATGAAGATCATGCCAGGACGTGGTCAAATCCAAGCTAGCAATGGAGACATTCAGGAGAAGGTGACTGTTTTCCCTTAGAAAAACAGTGAACAGGACTTTTGTGGTACAGAATAATTTGTTCCACCACACTTTATCTTTAATGTTTGATTTCCCCTCCATAAACGGCCACTACAACCATGAGAGCCATCAAGCACTTTCTAAGAGTATTTCCACTGTAAGATTACATCTCCAGAAGCCCCTTCACAGGCAAATATCGTTAAAAAAAAATAGCCACCGACTTTAAGAAGAAAAAGTTATGAATAATAATCAAACAGAAACACATTAACAGCAAAACAAATGACAGTCATATTAAATATTGTACCAACCGTAATTTGCTGCAGACCCGCAGGTCAAAGTCAGACTTTAAAGACTTTGTCGCAGAACCACCAATAAACCATTTTAATAAACTCTACGGCATTCAACTCCACTGCAGCAGCGGCCTTTATGAAGTCAGACTGGAGGACACACTATAATTAAAATGTCAAAATCATAATGAACCCAAGTTGTTTTTGGGTGTCTGACTTGACCGCCATTATTGGTTGGGAGATGATTTGGCCATAAGATTTGGGTTGTATAAAATAACAAATGTTTCATGAGAGTAAATAATAGGTGCGTTGTCAAGAAATGACCGCGCTTGCCATGATGGGCAATTGATCCTGACACACTCAATCAATCTGGATAATATTCAGAGAGCACAAATAATATGAACCAAACATGGAAGGGTTCATGATTGACTTAACTGTTAATTTCTTAGCACGGAGGGGTGATTTGCCAAAACACATCCGCATATTTCATTGAGCAGAGCATTACAAGAGTATTTTGGGGAACAAATGATGGCAAATATCACTGTGATCTTACCAATGCAGAGGGACTGGCCAAGACCAACTTGTGTAGTTTGGTGCACGGCCTCGTATGTCAGAGTTCCTGACCTAGACACAATACCTGTCAAGACAGCGATCAAAGATGTTAGAATGGTTTATAATGAGGAGGGGGGAGAGGTGGATATAGCTCCAACATAGATAGCAATTTGGTAATGACAATTTACATGCGGAAATGGTTGAAATAACACTTCATTTAATTAGAGTACAATCAATTTGAAATTAAAATTGAAGTCTGGAAAACTTACCAATCCTTCCTTTTTTGTGAATGTGGCCAGGCATGATCCCTATCTTGCACTCCCCAGGCTAAAAAATAAACAGTGTGGACAGTTTCAATCAAACATGTGAAAGACAAAACAGAAGAAAATAAATAAATGCATAAAAAACAATCTGCAAACGATTACTTAGAAATCCTCTGTGTTGTTTCACCGGATGATGCGTTTAATCGGAAGACTCTGTGTGCATTCAGCCTCGTGAACGCTCCCAAATACACGATGTGCTTACATTAATGACTCCTGGGCAGTTCGGGCCAATGAGACGAGTGGTGCTCTGGCGCAGGAGTCTGTGTTTCACTTTGACCATGTCCTGCTGGGGGATGCCCTCAGTGATGCACACCACCAGGGGAATCTCAGCATCAATGGCCTCAATGATGGCAGCTGCAGCAAATGGAGGCGGCACATATATCACGGTGGCATCAGCTCCTGTGCCTTCCTTCGCCTGAGGTAAGAAATAAAGGCGTCGATTTAAAATGGCAACTGTGAAATTGTTAAACACTGCCATCTAATGTCTACTTAGAGAAACACACACACACACACACACACACACACACACACACACACACACACACAGATTTCCAAAATTCAGGTTTTACTTTTGCAAAATTGCATGAAAGTTTTAACTTGTGCTGAACAAATTCAGACTGACCTCCTTGACTGAATTGAAGACAGGCAGGTCAAGATGAGTCTTGCCCCCCTTGCCAGGAGACACGCCTCCAACTAACTGCGATCCATAGTCGAGAGACTGTTGGCTGTGAAATGTCCCCTTGGTGGAAAGAGAAGTCAGTGTGTGAATGAGTGTGAGATGGGCATAACTCGCTACTGCATTTTTTTTCACTCAGAGAAATGATTCACAGGAGACAAGATGCGTCATCCACCATCATCTGCCGTCTTTCACCAGCGCTATATTAAAGGTTACAAAAGAGAATCAAATTGCTTCTATGGACAAAGACGCTGGTACAAATGCTCATTTAGAAGGAAATGAAATCATTTCATCAGAAAAATAATGACATGGCTGAGGTTTAATCGCTTCCCTAAACAGAGGGGAAGAGTGATGACAAAACGTGCAAAATAATACACATTCTGTGACTGCATGTCCTGTGCATTAAACATTAAAGTTTGGCTTTCTAGACTTAAAATTAAACCTGACACACACACACACACACACACACACACACACACACAATTTCAATCCATTTTTCATGGCAAGAACATGAAAAATGCAAATGGGAAACCTTGATGCCAGAATCGAACCCTGAACCTCTGAACTGTGAGGCAGATGTGCTTTGACAAGTATTTAGTTTATTTCTCCTCATAGAATACAAAAATAGATTTTTTTTGTTGTTTTACTCCCGTATTTTTTTTAAGCAACTTGCAAAAACAGAGAACATAACATAGTAGTTTTTTTTTTCCTTTCCAGATAAATTGGGTATTTTGGATTTGTTTTTTCTTGGCATCATGATCCATTATAAATCAACATTTTAACAGTTCAACGTTATGACAAAATGAACCATCAAACTGTATGGATCAAAGCGTAAGACCACACTCTTTTCAGCTATGCACTTGATCCATGTTGAGCTGTACTTGCAAGGTAAGGCCACCTTGGAAGTTCATACCTCGGTTTGGTACAGGCACATGTTGATAAAATGACTGCTGGTGCACTGTAAATATGGGCATCATGTCTTTGGCAATGCTCAGCACAATATTTGTGCTCACTTGAAAGTGGGTGGCTTCAAGCAAACAGTTTTGCCAATTTGGCTTAACGATAATGCCGCTATCATGATTGAAAAGTTATTAAATTAGACTGAAATACCAGTCAAGCACATTATTAACACCGTTACTATGACCGGTTAGCAAACATTCACTTAAAACTGCTGATTTGCATCCAAACTATAATAGACTAACTGTATGAGAAGTCCAGTTTTTAACTATCATTATTATTATTATTACTCAAAAGGAGGTAAATTGTTGAAGTGTGTCTGCAAATATTACCAGGGTGCTTTTATTACGCAACATAAAAATGGGATGACTTGAGATTTTTTTTTTTATTTTGCCATTGCGAATTAGTTCACAAAGCAACATTGATTTTCAGCTCAAATCCTATCAGTCATTTGTCTGTTAATTACCACTGAGGATGCTGAGACAACGTAGTGTGGCAAAGGGTCACACTGTATAAGAAGATAAATTAATGACATTCGAGTGCAGATTACAACTTTTTTATTAAGAGGTATTAGAAGCTATGAATCAGCAGCTCCATTCAAATGTAATGTACACCTCCTCTCTGCTAGCTTTGTTGGTCCCCCCCGCCCCCACCACCACAATTATTGCAAATTGGACAATAAATTTGAAGAATGGCTCGCTTATCAAGCTAGAACACAAAATGTATTCTCAACACCCCCGGCTTCATTTCTCATCCTTTTCTAATTACCTCAAGTGTTCATTGGACCCATTTTATTATGTTGAGGGCAAAATGGTGTTTGAAAAATGGCATGTGGCCAAGCACAAATGGGGATATAAATCTGCAAAGATCACATTTCTGGACTGTCAAACACGTTTGTCAAGTTTTGTTATTCTCCTTGAGCGCACATGTTCAGAGTGTATATTTTAAGTTTTTCTTCCCAAGTGCTTTTTATTGGTATTGATTGAAACAAAGACTTGGACAATTGTGGCCTGTTTTCTAGTGAACATGTATTACTTTTACCTCCCCCGCCCAAGTAAAAAAAGTAAGAATAATAATAAAAAATGGTGCAATGTCGTGTAATGCAAGAACAGAAGATCAAAACAGCTAACTGTTAATAAAGATAATTTCCCATTGAAATGCAGAAGTTTAACTGGTTGAATCTTGATTAAAGATGTCGATTTCAAAATAAATGTTCCTATGAGGACAATGGATAGATGGATGGAAATCATTCTGACATGTAATGGAGAGGGAACAAAAGGTGCCTTTTTATAGGTATTTCTAGAATATAGGTGTGTTTATGAACAGGTAACATGAGGTAAGGAAGGGGCTCATTTCATATAATTTAAAACATTGCGAAAATACAATTTAGAAAATGCGCATAATTCTACACACGGTGTTTACAGGATTTGCCCAAACTAACTATCACAAATGTACATCGTCTCTGTAAGTCCTCCTCCAAAGCTCCTTTACCAGCTTCAAAGTATGCCTCTCCTTAAATTCATTGATAAGAAGGTTTCAGTAGATATTTTTACTAACATTGTTGTTACGCTAGATATAGGTTATGAATAAGCCAATAAAGTGTCCCAGTTAGTGACAATCCAGCTTTGAATTTGAATGACAACGACGATGATTTTTATGCTTTTTGGGGCTGGGGTACCTACTTGTATCTTTTTTTAAGTACACTTAATTGGCTGTTGTCATCTTGCACAAAATCTGAAAACAAAATATCTGCAGCGGATACGCCATCATAGCATTGTGTACAAAATCCCCACTGTGTAAACAGTCAGATACTGTACTTGCTTTGTTAGAACACATGTTTGATATTTCATTTTATTATTGAGCAGTCAAAAAAATTGGCACTGTATGTCCCGCAGTCACAATAAGTTCCATTTCTCTTTGCATGATTATCATCAAATTTGCCCTCTCTGCCATAAATTGTTTATTTTTGCGGTGGGTGGAAAAAATCAAAGTCAAAGAACATGCAAAGCACAAGAAACTTGGGGGTTACATCTAACAGTACATTCTAAAATGTCTCCTTTGTGAATGAAGAGTGGTGCAAACACTGTTTGGATGGTAAAAGGGTTGAGGACAAACCTGCTTTCCTGTGAAACCTTGACAGATGACCTTAGTGTTCTTGGTGATGTAGAGGTTCTGTCTTGTTCCTGTATAACAGTGCCTGACGCCACTTTGCTGCACTGAACCGAGACAAAATATAACCCATATTGCAACACATCATTTGCAATTTTCAGTAACATCACTTTTTTTTCAAACACGAATTAAAACGCTGTATTAAGAAATCGTCCTAATTTTGATTACTTGAGAATTGAATGCCATACAATTGACTGGACCGGATTAACTGGTTTAAAGTAAAACAATGTCTGCAAATTCCAACAAGAACGATGTTGTGCGTGCGTGTTATCAGCGCATGTTGGCAGATGCAAGCAGTTTTTTTAAACTCAGTCATGAAAACAAGCCAGTCTTAAGTGACATATGAAGCAGCAGTCGGGCGTATAAAACCAGCACTCAAGACTGAACTTTGGTCTGTGGCACCTCAGGCACACAACTCGTCAATGACAATGTGCAAAGTTCAGTTGCAAACTCGAAAAGGTGATGGGAACGTGAATGTAGGGGTCACAAATTCCCAAAGCAGGCTGCATTGTCTTCGCTTTTAGCTGAAATGTGCAAAACATTAAATACAAAAGTAGCTCAAAGTGTGCATTATGTATTGAGGAAACTAACCTGGTCTGTGAATTCACAGCTGCTTAACAACTGGCAAGAGGTTTAAGTTATGGTCTAGTCGGCGTTAGCATAAACAACCAAGTGCTCTTACAGTGCCTTTACACTCAATTCAAAACGCTAACTTGCCTACTAGCATGCTAACTGTCAGACAACTTTATGTACCACTGCTAGCAAAAGCAACATAAAAGCGCAAACTAAAGAGCTAATACATAACACCCAAACACAGAAATGCAACAATGAAGCAGCGATTCGATAAATGTGTTATGATGAATACTTACAAAGCAGCCTGGCAAATAACCTGCAGTGGGACATATTCGGTCACTCACCAATGACACGGGAGGCTCGGGACCTTAAGCCCAGACATTAGCTGCCTATCAATATCCCCGTTTTTAATTAAAAGAAATTATTGATATGATAATGTACAAATTCACCTTTCTTTTTATGGCATAAACATACAAGCCTTTGGGTATTTTCTAAGACGCTTCATGGACTAAAACGGCTAAACATAAAAAACAAATCATATTTTCAGGCGTAGATTCGGCTTCTTCATCAAACTGGTGCAATATGGGTATTGTAGTTCTTTTTAGACAAATGACGATTATCAAAATCTAACACCGGGGGGCGCAAAAAGAAAGCAAATTGGGCTCGGCTTCTTGTCACGCCGCATTAGTGTTTTGTGAAAACATGTCTAAAATTATTTAAACGTAAATATTAACAATACACAATCTTGGGTCACAGTGAGCTTAAAGCCTACAAAAACCGAACGTTACCCCCCCCCCAAAAAAAAGAGAGGAGAAGAAGGCAGAGGACATAGGAATAAGACAGATAAGACAACGATCAATGACAAAGGAAGTGACATTAACATTTGCATTTGTTGCAATGGGACAAGTATGTGATGAAGAAGTGAGGGGAGTTTTGTCAGCCTGCTGAGTTCTGAGTCGTGACCGATGGCTGATGATTTGCTTGTGTAAGCGGCGAAATGAAGAGAGCCAAGCCCTGAAGTGTGACCTTTGCATCAGGAAAATTGATTTGGGTGGAGTTAAGGATGATAATGTTCAAGTGAAGCACTACACTGTGGACTTCCACAATTTGAAGTTTTAATGGGTATTCTGGCCTGTGTTGCACCACATCTGCCACAAACAGAGTCCTGTCACCTTTTCAGATGCTATTTCTGACTCTAAATGCGCCTTTAAGATTCATTTATTAATGTACCGGAAAGCCTTCATCTTTTATGTAGAACAATTATATCATAAATGTTTTGCATGCAGGTGTTAGGGCTTTGGTGAACTGGTCAGGGAGATATGTGTTGCATGCCACTTTGCACCATCAATTTACAAAAATTGTATATCATAATGACAGAAAAAGTACCCGTCAGCATGAAGCTGTCAATGCAAAGGTAGGGACAAGTCATTCCTTAACAACTGTCGCTATGTATCCCATGCACTAACACAAGGTCTTGTGAAAACAGGCTATGCTACAGCTTTAACATACTGCAACGTCCTTGTAAAAGGATTATTCACTCGCAAATGCTCTTCATTCGCTTTATTCCACCGGCAGAGTGCCCATTTATTCAAGAGCTGTTATCGGTCAAAATGCAGGTTTAGTGATTCTGCACACCGGCTGCCTAAACCTTGAAGCTTAGATGTTCCTCTCGTCCATTCTTCAGCTGTGTTAAAACACAGGAGTCACACTCATCAAAACACAAAAACAGATGCAAAAATGAGGAATGTTGATCTTCTGTTCACGGCATCGAAATACAAGGCGCTGCAAAGCATGCTGGGAAGCGCGCAGGTTCACCATTGACATGTACAGTACAGTATTTTATGTCATAAATGTTTTTAACTGGGGGGGTTGTCTTTAGTGAATATTTCTATAATTAAGATCCATATTTTCGGTACAAATAAACTGCATAAGTTCCGCTTTGGCCGTTTTTGGTTGTTCCGAGGTTGCTGAAAAAAACGTTTTAGAACCGCCTTCATACTGCTATCCAATCAAAATCCACCAACTCCTCGGGTGATGATTGGTCGCTCTAGGCATATTCACGACGGTAAATACGGTCTTTTTTTGCTTCTCACAAATATTGAAGCACATGAATTACGTACCGGTAAGCGATTTCTACTGAGGAAAGAACGCAGAGTCATAAACGAAGCGTAGGCATTACAGTATTGAAGTCAAACTCGAAATTTGCTGCACCGAAAATTTCAGGATGGTTTTAGAAACGATTTCGAGGATAATAAAAGTCCAGCTCCCCGCATACCTGAAGAAACTTCCTCTTCCGGAGACGATCGGTGGATTTGTAAGGTTAACAGGTGAATAAACGATTGCTGTAATGCAGTACTCTTATGAATGTCCTGCTTGATGACTTCTTCACTAATGGGAACACTTTTTCACTCCTGGCGCCTAATCTTCACTGCATCTACGCATACGGACAAACCCAACGAGTCGGTCACTGTAAATTGAAATGTCAGTGTGCAAGCTGACCAAACTACGCGACTCTATCAACAAGCAGTCATTATTACGACTAACGTTGGGCACCGTGAATGAATTAAAGCCTTATAAATGTTACATGCAATTTGGTTTTTCCTATGCACTGTTAGCCCGTCCCCATTGCATTTTTATAGAACGTCATTTTAAACCAAACGATATATTGAGGGATGCGTTATTTATGATTTGGACAGTGCAATACTTGTATTAGTTAAAATACCACTAATCGTGTGTTATTGTTGAGAATTGTGGTGGCGGTTCTTTTTCATACAAATAAAAATGCTTGTCAACATTATCAATGGCTAAGCGGTCATGAAATGTGACTTTGCAATGTAATTGTAGTCAGAATATTCCACTGAGAGAAGTAACGCGTTAGATTAGTTGTTACTGTAAAAATTGATGTGTTTTAGAATACCAAATTACTGGCATCACGGGTTGCTACAATGTGCAAAATAACAATTGTTCACGGACTCAATTTAATTTTTTTTCCGTTTTTTTGAACAATAGTCAGCTATTGTTCAAAAAAAAAAAAAAAAAAAAAAACAAGCATATTCCCCTGTTGTGCCGTTTGCATTCCTATCAATTGTGTCTACATCCCTGCGTTTTAGTGTCCGAATGGCTGCGGTTGCTGCCTCTACTGGGCATCTTGGCTCTGCTGGGCTACATGACCATTCGTCCCTTCTTTCCCAAGAAGAAGAAGCAGAGAGACTGTCTGATCAACCTGAAGATTCAGAAGGAAAACCCCAAAGTGGTCAACGAGATAGACATTGAGGACCTTAACAGTGCAAACGTGTGCTACTGTCGCTGTTGGCGGTCCAAAACTGTAAGTGAATTTCACCATCTCGTCTTGAAATGAGAAGTCTACACAGAATTTATTTTTTTGTTTGTTTTTTAAACATGAAATATGTCATAGTGGTCACTGGCTGGCAGTTTAGTGGGTTCAGCTCCCACTCAATGATGCTTTGAATGAGTGTGAATAGTTGTCTGTATTTATATGCATTCTGTGATTGACTGATGACCTGTCCAGGGTATAGTGAAGCTGCTTTTTTACCAAAAGTCAGTCAGAATGTTCAACAGTTCCCTGTGACACAGATAAGGTTAAGCAGTCAGAAAATCGCTGGATTGATAGATGGATGGCTGGAAGTCATCACAATGTTTTATGTCTACAGTACAGTATATGTATCTGGGTTTTAAACATTCTCAACTTGGAGGATTAAGTGGTTGAGCAGCTGGCAAATGACATCAATTTATTTCCTCTTTTCAGTTTCCTGTTTGTGACAAGTCACACTTAAAGCACAACGAGCTGACCGGAGACAATGTGGGACCACTCATACTCAAGAAGAAGATCCTATAGACCACCTACTGGGAGATCCACCTCTCTCCCAGTATTTACATTACATTAATTTACACTCGGTAATTTTTTTTTTTTTGCATGTGCAGGAGAGAAATGTTGTGTCATGCAGTCATCAGCTGAAGTCATCCTGATGTATTGACAAAGGAATGGTTAACCTTTTCTGTGGTTTCAGTATATTTGTAATTGTAAATTTGATGATAGTCTCTCCGAGAGCCTCCGTAAATCATTGAGACTGCTTTGAGTGTAATATGGCATTTAATCATTATAAGCCTCCCAGGGCAACATTTTCCCCTCGATCAGGCGTGAAGTAAAACTCCTAAGTCTGTAAACATCCGGCAATTCTGGCAACTCTGTTACATTATTGTGATAACCGGATCTTTCTTTCCTTCGTTTGTTTGTGTACCAAATGTAATCCATCACACAATGTGAAATAGGCGGCAGGGTGGATGTTTGATTTGAAAAATTTAAGGCCATGTTAAAATATTGAAGACTCTTTGCAACCTTGGTTATGCAGCCTGTGATTTTACGCAATCATTTCAAACCATTGCACAGTCAAGTTTCATCAGCAAATTGCAGTAGAATTTTACAAAGCCTTATTGAGGTTGACGTGAGTGACCGAAGCATTGTTGTTTTCAGCCTGTTTCTTTTTATGCACTGTACCATAACAGTGACTGTGTATATACTTTACTTCCTTCTGAAGTAATTACCAATACCTACCAATATTTTTGCATCTATGTTGATATAATCACAGTTGTCTTTTCATGTTTTCTGGAGCATGGTTTGAATTAATTTATTCTTCTGTATACTGAACATACATATATATTGGCACAGTTGTGCTCCGAGCTAACGTTAGATTCTTAATGCAGTCCTAATCAAAGGTTTGGACACACTTTCTACTGGATGAGAACATTTGCTCAAACTTGTTCATGTTCATCTATAATGTCAAACGTCGATCCGCAGTACTGACAGTTGTCACATTAAACTAATCCTAAAACTGAAGAACTAAGCAAGAGGTTCAACTTGGAAACATTTTTATTAAATATTTAGTAAAAAACTAATTCACAGTTCCATATACTGTATATTTCATCAATACTCTAATACTGCACACAAAAACATATCACAATTTAAATTAATTGAACATCTTCAAGTGCCTTAACGTACACTGCATACTTTTGTAACAAATGAAAGTAACAAAACTGGATTAAAAATGACTAATAAATGATGAGTGTATATGACTGAATATGATTCAGCTTCTATTTCAAAGCAAAGGGAAATATTTGAATTACCGTTTATACATTTTCCTGAGTTTTTACACATTTTGATTTAAAAAAAAAAATAGTACTTAAGTGTCAAACCAGCTCCTGTTTCAAAACAAAACACTATTGTAATTCCCATTTTTATAACTAACTCAATAGGCTAGCAGATGTAATTATTAGGATTACCATAAAATCCGATTCCCTTATTTGAACAAATAAGAACCACAATCTTAAAAAAAAAAAAAAATCCATTCATGAAACTAATTCATTCAATTATAATGAACATTTTGACTCTGACATGAAATTACCTCTCGAAAACTGAATGACCATTCATTTACATGCTCAGATGTGGGTCATTTGTTTGAGGCCTGGAAATCACCAGTGGCTATAAATACATAAGTCATTCACGCTTGTGTTCCTGCAACAGAGAGAACAGCAGGAGCTGTCTGAAGACAGCAAGTCAAAGTAGGCCACTCGGTGGCTAAAGGAGAGCTGACATATCCAACATGTCATTACAATTATTTTTGTTTCAAATTAAAACTTGAGTCAAGTGTCCCATAAAGAATACACAGAGAAATAGTCAAAATAGATAGTAACAATGAAGTGTTCGATGCTAGTACACAGTGTTACAGCAGTTGCAGACATATGCCCTCAAATCCAAAATTAAAGAATCTTTCATTCAACACCTCATTGTTTGCATTGAGATCAGAGAGGTCAAAGAGTACTTTCATAGGTGACCGGTGTTTCATTGTCCTCATCGTCCCCTACCGCAGTGCCTGGGGGAGATACAGAGGGAGTAACGGTTGCTGACATTATGGGTTATGCTTTTTCAATCTACACCATTAGTTGCTGAAAAATTCACCAAGTCGTTGGTTTTGTGCTCAATCCGAAGTCCTGTATAATATGGTCAGCCTCTTAAAATAATGGCCAGAATAACATTTTGAGGGTTTTTTTTTTTTTTTGCCTTAAACATCTCCTCAGGATGCTGGCCACCTCTGCTAAAAGCGGCTGCATCCTTAGTCAAACAGATCATTCAATTCTAGGCCCAAAATGAAATTATTAATACATTAAAGATCATCAGAGTATTGCTCAGTTTTTCTGGTTTTCTGAAAAAAATGACAAGGGGAATTATTTTTAAATAATTTTAAATAAATTATTATTACAAAGGTGAGGATATATAAGTAGTAATTTAGCAAAATCTTGTCAACAAACCGTGTTAAAGTGAGTTGAGGAACTTCATGTAGTGCTTTGCCACCACGTTGATGCACCTATAGGCCATTATAAACCTATTTAAAGAGGCACCAATTACTCACTGTTTTCACTATTTGTGGATGAGCTTGATCTCAAAACACAGTAGTAGGTAGGCCTTTGTTTTCTATGTAATATTGGAGGTCTCTTGCAAAACTTAGTGTTTGAGTGGTCCGTTTTCTAAATAACAAACTAGTCTTTGGCACTCACATTGCTGCAATGGCTAAAAGGAGGGAAAGCAGAGCTACATTCCTGTTGCATTTACTCACTACTTCACAACTACGAGGCATGGGTGGTGAAATCTGAGCTGGGTTTAGTTGATAAATAATGCAGACACGTTACCTACCTAAGAAAAAAGCTGATAAATTCGGTTTGACTCGCTCACCACAGGCTGAGTTCTTTGGTTTCTGCAACAGGCATGGTCCACACAGGCCTATTATAAGGGCTCCGACTGGCGCCGTGAGAAGAATGGAGAGCACAGCCACGGTCAGCACATCCATGCCATACTTCTGCATCTGCTCGTCTTGCCTTGTTCTGGCCATGTCCAATGCTGTGGAGCCAATAGCTGCCTGGAAATTAAAAAACGAGTTGAGCTCTGCAGTCCTTTATGTAACAACCAGCAAACGTCTGAATACTTTATTTAATTTTTTTAAAGAGAATACCTGCACAGTGGCTTTGGGCATCCAAGCCAGGGCAATAAACAGCTTTTCACGAATGTTGAAGCCGGCGAACAACACACAAACGTAGGTGAAAAGAAGACGAACCAGCAGGGCAATGAGCAGAGACGCAATACCCAGACCTGCACAAGAAAACACGGATGCACAACACTGTCACATAACTTTTGATGACAAAAGCTTCCCCAGTACGTTGAGGTCAAAGTACACAGCTTTCAAGATCAATTTTCAAGCTTTTCCAGAACCTTAAAATCATACACATCAAAAACAGTAATAAATATATACGATTGTATAAACAATTGTTTTATAAGAGTACAAACAGAATATTTAATGGTTCACATTAAACCATAAATGCCAAGTTTTAATGAAACCTTAATTACAAATATAAAGGTGTTTTTTTCACATTAACCACATCCTCATCTTTTTGTTTTGAATTCATTGAGAAGAAAAACTATTTAAATACATCTGGGCCTAACTAAATAGTATATATACTCCCTATTCCCCTCTGACAGCAATTGATAACACTAGCATTCAGCAATATGTTTTTAAAAACACAAAAATGCAACATCTAAAACTATAGCACTTTTAAGAATTGTGTTTAGGAGATCATCTCGGTGCTCTCACCAACTGTGTGTCCCTCCAACTCCGACACTCTTATCTCTGCTCCGATTAAGCCAAACAGAAGTGGCTGAAACACATCCCAAGCCCAGCCTACCACTTCCTCCACGCGTGCCTAAACAGATACACAGAACTTGGTGTTGATTTCTATTGCCTCTGGCATGCATGTAGCCGAGTAGGAAAAGTATTTCTGTAAATCCAATGATGATTGCCGAGGGTTACCTTTTCTGTACCCCATCCGAGACCAGCGAGAAATGCCAATACCAGAGTACAGAGGCCACCAGAACCAGGAAATCCAGCCACACCGCTGCCAAACACAGCAAAGACAGACAGGCCGAGCACCAGGAAGGATCGCTTCATCACCAAGTGTTTCTACAAGGACAAATCACAGTCAGTGAGTACATATTGTATGTTGTGTTTTATACACCATGCTGGCCGATCACAGTTTTAGGGTTCATTTGAGATTTTCCAAAATTGCACACCTGAGGGGGAGTATCATTCATCAAAATACAAACAGACTGTATGATTGTAGTTTGGCACCTGCATTTTGCAAAAGACATAAGGAAGTTCTAAAACAGGAAAGGAACTAGAAATGTAAAGTGGGGAGCATATCTTATTTACATTACAATCGTGTTTTATTTACTTTCTTGGTCACTTTTTTTCAAATCTCGAATCAAATTTGAATTTTCAAAACTTTCAAGCACCAGTGGGAAGCGTGGCTTTGAAACTTGGTATTTCCAGCTCTCAGTAACTGCCTGGGGTCAATACCAAGGTGGTTAAATTTGATGACTCAACAATGGAGAAACACCTACGCAAAGTGTACCGGTAGTGATGTTGCAAGATGCTCAATGTCTACCTGGTCGAGACTGGGAAAGTACTGGATGAGGAAGCCAAGAAGGATCCCAGCAACCAAGCCACTGGCCACCTCCAGCACACCTCTCAAGATGTTGTACCATGTGGAACCTACAAGAGCAAGATTTATAAGAAATTCAGTCATAACGTATTTGGGCAGAAAAATTGGCTTTTTTAAAATGTGTTTGAAGAATAATCAATTCAACTTGGGTTTGTATTATGAAAACTGAGCGTATTGCAGAGGGCACGTGGATACGTTCCATAATTTATTTCCAAGATGATGAGTAAATACTCTCCATCAGTTTCATAAGCCCACCAATAAAATCATGTTGTTGTGCTACAACTTGTTTACCTGAGGAGACAATAACCCGTGGCACAGCATTGCGAAAATGGTCTGACATGGTCTTAATATTATTTTTGTAAAGTGTTTTCTTCCCCGATATTTAAAGTTTAAAGGGGGCTTATTGAAAGAAGCTCATTTTTTATAATAATGTTATGAGAGATATGCATGACAAAGATTTTCATTTAATAATCAGTTGAGTTACTTTGTAAGAATCATCACCATGTATGAGTGACGGGGTACTCATGGTATGACAAAAAGGTTCGGGAGTGCACAAGACAGAAAAGATTGTGAAGGTTACAATGAGACCCGAATTTGCAAATTGTTCTACAGTAAGTCAGAACACTCCATTAGCTATCACTAACCAACACGAACTCAGTAATTAAGTCAGAATCAGAGTAAATATGTGTATGAAAAACATTTTGAGGCCATAAATCTAAAACAAATGAAAAAGTACAGCAGTAACTTAGCATGCCATCTTGTGCTTCATGACAACATACTGTGTTCTTCTTCAAACCACTTCATTGTGCACCAAATGCTCTACGTCAGGACAAAGTGACATACCATGAAAATTCTGCCTTAAAAGTCAGCATTTCTCCAAAAATTGCAAGCACCACTGGCACACATTTTGGCATCTCAGTGGTGACGTGAGCTACACTAAAAGTTTGCTTTGTCCTCCCCAATTACCTGTAGCGAAAGCCATGCCCAAGCATGTAGTGAACCCTGTTATGGCAAGTATGTCATCAAAGCTACCCGCTGCCATTAACAAAGTTGGGATGCCCTGCTCCACACCGTAACCGTCCTTCTGCAGTAGCAACATGGAGGGGACCACCACTGCGGGAGACACGGCGCCGAGCACAAAGCTGCAAAGTGCAAGAGACGGCCCCATTCAATGTATACGGTACGGACAATCCACCATATCGACGGCCGCATAATTGCCAAAGCCATTTTGCAATATTTTTGGACGACAAGAAAAAAATATTTTCAGAACACACATCAGTAATTTTTTTTTTATTGATATTGTAACAAAAACTTCAACTCGATGGCTGAACAGGTAAAGCCCCTACCCCATTGAGGGGCGAACAATTGAGACTCTTGTTGCAGGTAGAAAACTGCATGTTGTTGACGTCAAGGTCACAAATGTTCGCAAATCATTCCGCAACAGTTTTTTGTGATTTTTCTTGTCGCAAGGAAATTTTGAACACGTTTAAAATTCCCTTGCGACAAGAAAAGTACAGGAAAATATCTGGCGACCATTTGGCAAACTTTTGCGACCTTCACGGAAAGCTGAAGAACTCTGATGTGAACGTTACATCCTCTGCCTTTGAAATTATTCACCATTGTTTGCCGCTCAGTTGGATAGGGGCTTAAGCGACAGGGAAAAGACCCCCCCCCAAAAAATAAATAAATAAATGTGTGATCTAAAAAAATATATTTTCCCCCTTGTTTTCTAAAAACATTGAAACATGACTGAGGCAATTATGCAATGTCGCCAGTGATATTTAAATGAGCTGTTATAGACAAGAGAGAGGGGAGATATTTACCCTAGGATGAAGCCCCACACCCAGGGCAAACCCATGAGGAAGTGGGAGACCAGAGCTATGGTGCAGGCCTCTATGATGCACGGCCCCACTGCCACACGCAAACACACAGACTTTAGCTTCCTCAGAGCCTGGCAAAGCAAAAGATCCAAGAGGTTATAATCAACATTTTTAAATACATTTTCATATCCTTAAGATCTGTTTATATTTATATCCATTTTGTGTTATTCATGTTTTGCCTTGAGTTGTTCTTATTGCGAATGAATAAAGTATCAATATATCTATATAAGCCTGATATATCTTATTTAATAGGTTTATAATCAAAACATGGCAGTAGAACATCCATCCGGCAACAACAGACATCAATGAAAATGATATACTGGTACTTTTAATGTAGAATACAGTATTACTAAATTGACGCATTTGTCAAAAAGCAGAGTGTCACAATTTTGCAGCCCACATGCTGTATTTAGCGTTAACCTAACTAAAGTATGAACACACTTTTCTGTATCTCTGAATCCAACATCTTACCGAGGGATCCAAACCCAGACCGGCTCTGGCTAGGATGACCGCCAGCGCAATGTTCCTGAGGGAGGCGGACCACTTGAAGTTAATGTACACACCGTCTGTTATTACTGGGACATTTCTCAGCATGACACCCATGAGTAGCATACCTGCAGTAGGAAACAAACTTTGCTGATAATTTGATCCTCTCACTGTGTTCAAGTTCACATAGTTTTCGTCTCAGATAGGACTCCTGAGGCTCCACAATCCAATTGTATGACAACCACAATCATGCATGTATTAATCCAACCTTTCTTGTCATATGATGTTAAATTTGCTGCTGAAAACATGCAAACAGAAGTCACTTTTAATATCACACACAATGTTGAAAATTAACCCTTCATGCATCCTGTAAACTGATAACCCGATAAGATGTCCACTGTAGTTACTGTTGTCATTGAAAGGGTTAAAAAAAAAAACAAAACAAAATGAAAAACAGAAAAGATGATTCATAGATGACCAAAATGTATTGCACCAATTCCAATCTCTGTTTATGACATACAGGCCACGTAAGTACCAAAAACCAAGCTGTTCAACCCAGCACTGCAAAGCATCAGAGAACACCATTGGATTAGATTTACAATTTTACCTTAACAAAAAATATTTGTGAATTGGTGGACTAAAAATTAAATATGTTGTATCTAGTTTGTGCAGCACTTATTTTTGTCCTAAAGATGTTTCATTTCCTACCAAGAAGTGGAGGGAATGGTGGAAGTCTGGGCAGCCGAATCAGAGCCACCAGTTTGCCACCAATGACTGCAGAGATGAAAAGCACCGTAATGCCAAACAGGTTACCACCTGGAAGACATTCGTCCTCTGTGACGGACCACACCACTCCAAACAGTACCGCGGCCAAGAGGACTGGAGAAGACACAAGGCAACAGAGTTAAGAAAAATGTTATATATTAATGCTGTTTTGAGGAAAGAGGTTTGATAAAGTCATAGATTATCACTGACGGCATGATAACCTGGGTGGGCCTAAAAGGATCCTGTTGTGAGTTTACCTTTTGTAATGACAGAGGCCACAAGGCCTCTTGGAGGACAAGGGCAAAATCTGTGAAGCAAGGGGCAGCAAACAAGTGGTGGTTCTGTGTTGGTTCCCGCATCCACCACAGGGTGGCGAGGAAGAAAGTAAGTTGTTTCCTCTGTGACATTTGGACTGGAACAACGTCTCACCACTACTTGGATCTGGTTCACATTCAGGTGCTGGAAAGAGAGACACAGAGCATGGAACAAAACTACTTTAATATTTCATCAAAGAAAATAGTAACGAAATGACTTTTCAGATGATTATAAAGGTCTAATACAATCATCATTATGCTTTTCTACAACAGAGTACACTTGGCTCTCCTCGACAATGTTTTTGTCTGGTCCCTTTCCACTTCCAAATAGTACCAAGACAAACTACGAAAACCATGCCACATTTACCATAGCATGGAACAACAGGGGAATGAGAGTATTCTGTATTTACTTCTCCGCATGTCATATGGTTATATTTGAGGATAGCTGAGAGCAGCAAGACAACAAATCGCTGGAGCAAAGTGGAAATTGTGGCATGTAGTTCTACTACAACAACAGCATCAAGAGCTAAAGCATATCAACAAGCTTAAGCCAATGATAGCATGTGTTTAGTTCTATCATTTCTAGCCATACATCCCCAAATGTTACACAGATGGGACAATGAAATATCAGCTTGACCAGTGATTGACAGGCAGTGGCTTACATTTGGTATCTGTTCAGCCTGCTGAGAACACCAGGTGACCAGATATTGTGTGGTTTTTTTACAGTGTTACACAAAAAATATTATCGCTTGACTCTTGGAAACATGTTGCAAAAAGACAAGCAAAAGCAGAGTAATAAACTGAGAATAATCACATTAGTACAGTATGTAACTCAATTGATTATCATTAAAGTTAACTGAATTGTATATTTTAGTTAGGGATAAGAAATAAATGTTAATACTACCTCCACGTGATTTCCTGATGGCAAAGGGATTCTGTCCAGAAGCGGACTGGGTGCGGGACTTGGTGCATGACTAGGTGCAGGACTAGGTGCAGGACTGGGTGCAGGACTGGGTGCGGGACTGGGCTCCGGAGTGGCAGGTTTGGACCGTGTGTCCTCCATGGTAGAATGGAATATCTGGTCCACTCTTTTCTATCACAGCACATTCAACTGAGGGGTGGAATTCCTGGCCATAGATGGAGCAGCTCCAGCACAACTTGTACCTGTCCACCTCTTTAATTCCAACAATACAGAAAACGGTAGTGTCAGTGGAGTGTAATCACATTTAAGAAAAGTATTGGGCTCCTTTTTGCATGTCCACTTCATCGCTGCTGATTTTAGCTCTTCTGGCAAAGCCGTACTAAACAATATCCATCCATTTTCTGTACCGCTTTATCCTCGCAAGGGTCACGGGGGGTGCTGGAGCCTTAAAAATACGAGTCGTAGAATCCGCCGTCAAGCATCACATACTACAATGTTTTGTCAATCACGAGCTGGTGGCACTGGCAACAGCAGTTGGTTAATCCAATACTGTCAACAGAGCACACTAATCGATGCTTACATGCTTGGCCATATGGCGCGACTAGCAGTGGAAGTTTAGTGAACGTGGATGTTTCCGCCAAAGTCTAGCCTCCGTTAATCGGCACACCTAGCCAATCCTAACAGCTAGCTAACTTGTCTAGTTTGAGGAGGGTCTCGCTCTTCGTCTGAATGGGTTAATAGCGAACAACCCTACGTCATTACAAGGGCGTGGCAACATGGGATGCTAACGGGTTAGCATCGCGTTACTTTACAATTGGCGTAAATCCACGCGTCCTGGTTCACTGCGAGCTTAGATATATTTTCGGACATCGCCGAGCTCTAGCTAAAGCGTCTCTTTGCCCTCGGTTTGTATGTATCAACATTGTAACATTACAGATTTACAGCAGTGCTGTCACGCCGACATTTTAGCAACAAAAAGAACCTATTACCGTATTAGCTTGTCACGAAACGCTAAAGTATGAACCCGGCAAGTTGTGCAGTACTGTATATCGAACTAATCAGTCATAATAATTCACCCTACTGGACTCTTCGGTCTGTCCGAGTAAAAACATCTAAAGATTAAGACATGCATCCATACATGCACGATTAAAACACAATTTCCAGCAAATACTCAATTCTTGTAATAAATTGTGTGCTTAGTGCGCTTCAAGTCAATTACGGAACCTCTTGTCCGATAAGGGATGCTGGACGTCGTAAATCCCGTAACGTTCCTATATTAATCATCAATTAAATGTAGGGAAAAAACACTTACCTCACACCATAAACATTGTCAAAGCTTTGGAACTGGCATTGGCAGCCTTTCTGGCAGATTGGCCGGGAAAGAAATGGTAATAAGATTAGTGATGTCCAGTCTCTGTCGTGTGGTATTGGTGTAAGGCTGGGAGGGGCGAGGTTAAGTACAAACATTGCGTAGTGCACATCATGTAAAGTTTATTATACTGTATTACAATATTAATCACTTGGACACAATCAAAATTGTTCACATTGGTCTCTATTTTCGTACCCAGAACAAGTGTAGCCCAAAGCACATTCTTACTGCATGGGTGGAGTTTGTTTTCTTTTTTTCGATATTTTTATGGACGAGCGAAGGTAGAAATGAGAGTTTGCACCATTGTGAGAGTGAACACAGGTGACTTGTTTCCTGACCAATGGAAGCGGCTCGCGTTATCCCTTTTAAATTCAATGCAAGAGAGGCACAGGCAATTAAATCCACCAAAATCACATTGCATCACCTGCGCCACAACTTGGACTTTCTCTGAGCTGGTCTGTGGTCTGGTCTACTTTCAGACACGCCCCAGCACAGTGACCCTCGGTCTGCCAGAAGACTCAGCATGGCATAGCACAATCTGCCAAATTCTCACACCCGATAACCAAGACTTACCCCAGCACAGAAATCAAGATGTGTCAGTTTTTACACCAAGCACACATGCCCTCCCTGCAAAAACAGACCCGTGAGTGTTTATTATACTGATAGTGTATAGTAGCTGTGAGTAATTAGGTTTATTAAGCCGTAATTGGACAAGGCACAGCTACAAAAAAAAAAAAATCTCAGAAGACATCAATATAATCAAAAAGTGTTAACATAGTGAATCGGCCAATCTTAAAGTAGCACCTATGATTCATGGGACAAGTTTGCTTCATGCTCTTCAAAGCCTCCAACCTCCATCGATGATTTGCTCTGTGCCAGTCACATAAGCCGACTGTGGAGGAGCACAAACACACACACACACACATCAGATACATTCGGTATGCATTTCATACAGGGTGTCTCAATTTAAAAAAAATAATTTTGCATATCATTCGGTTAGACAAGAAGCCATCAGCCTTTGACATTTTTGGACTTTGCAGATTTTGTAAGCATATCAATCCCTTGCCCATGGCTCGCCAATTTACATTGGAGCAGCGTTGTCAAAGTGTCCCCAGGGATGGGAGGGGGGTGGGGGGGTACTCTGCTCCCTCTCCCCTCTTAATGTAACTATGAAAGGGGTACTCGTATAAAACCAAAATGACTATTTTATTATTTATCACTTTATTTGGGGATTTGAAGTGGATATTGAAAAATTTTGTGTTTAACTTGTTTGTGTTGTTGTTTACAGTTTTTGGTCGGTGGTTGCTGTGGTTTATTTTTCAAATGATTTCAATTTTTTTTTCTTAACTTAGAATGTGTGTAATATTGACAAATCCCTCGTTAAGGATTGTTTCTCTCTTGCTGGCTCGATGTTGCATTAGGTCAGTGCTGTCTGCGCAGAACCCCACAAGCAAGTGTCACTATCTTGCATTCACGTATGATTTAATTTTTTATTTTTTTGCATTAGTTTTGAGATCTGAAGGAATTAAATAAATAAATAAATGCATTTAAAAAAAAAATCTAATTGCCCTATGGCAAAGATTTTTTTTCCGTGAATGCAGTTCAGTGTCAATTTGAGAAGCTAAATGGCCATTACACTGCTTGGGTAGTACAATTTATGCTGTCCATGGCAAGTTTTTCACAAACAGGAACCATACTTGACAAACCACGCGGGCCTCAGGCCCGCTACTACCACAAATGATGAAAATGCCCAAGTCCAAGAGCAGGTGTTCACGCAAAGCCAGCGTATCTGGAGGGCCGCTTGGGAGACTGAAAAAGCTTTACACTTTACCAACAGATGGTTAAAAGGTTTCAAGCAGAATATTACAAGGCTCAAAATTACCACAACATTATGATGCCCATCTACCTACAGTTGGGTAAAGCTTTATCACTCTCAGAATCATCTGTTCAATCAAGTTTTTGTGGATGCAGAGTTTACTGTCGTGTTCCCCGGCTTTGCGCAAACGCCTGCGCTAAAGGGTTTGGTGTTTTCATCACTGGAGGTAGTAGCAGGTCTTCCGCAGCGTGGTTTGCCAAGAATAGATTAAGCTTTCAGAAACTTCCCATGGATAGCGTAAATGGTATGTCCAAAGTAGTTGTAGTGTTAAAGCAGTGCGATGGCGATAAAGCTTCTCAAAACGGCATTCAGGTTTTTACAAAGCAGTGTCAAGTCAACTCCTACGGCAGCAAATATCCAAAGTATAAATAAGGCTGCAAATATCTAAAGCATCCTCACCTCATCTGAGGCCAGGTAGACACACAGGTATGCCACCTCTTCGGCTGTGCACATCCTGCCCGTTTTCTGCCTTGCCATGAAATCCTTATAAGCCTGTTAAAAGGGGTTGCACAGTAGCATGTATCCACATCAGAACATTACTGTAAGAATACAGCAAACAATAAATAAGGTGTCCAGTACCTTTTCTGGGTCAGGTTGAGCTTGGATTCTACCCCTCAGTGATGGAGTGTCAACAGTACCTGAGGAAAAATGAGCTCACAGAGCTTTTAAAAGTACATTTTCTTCCTGATTAATGTCATTTGCATATGGTCTCGGCCTGAACAGATACAAGCAATAATTCAACTTGTATTACAGTAAACAATCTCAGATTTATGACACATAGATGTCTTATGGGTTAGCCTTATGCTAAAATAAAGCCAAATGAACCATTAATCAACGAAAGACAGTTTCATTATCTATTTCAATTAGGGTTATTAACTTCGTAAACACTTTGATTTCAAGCATTTACTATGCCAACACTACATGAATAAAAATATACACACATAAAATAAAGCCTACCGACTCACCAAAATGAATAATAAACATTGCATCCTTTGCGATTTGAAAATTGCACTCTTGCAATGTCGATTTGAATTTGATTAGTTGTTCAGTCAAGTCAGCTTTATTGTCACATATGCTCTATGTGCAACATACAGCACAGATGAAATTTCTTTCCTCTCAACCACAGTGCAAACATGCAGTGCATTGAAAACACACACAGCTAAAAATAAGGGCAGCGAAACTAAACTACATTAAAAGACATAAATATATAAATATAAACAAATAAAACAATAAATAGCAATAACAGACAACCAAGAGCACTTGTAATTATTGTGGGTTAAAGTTAGTTAGTGCATTGTTTAAGGGCAAACAATAAGCGCTAACATGATCCCTTCCAAATAAATTAAACTGACATAACAGTCTTGCAGAAGTGTTTGTAGACAAGCTGTGAAAGCTTTTTTTCATGCATCAAAAATAAAGTTTCGTCAAATGCAAAAACTTCACTACTCCATTACCATCTGCATCATCCATTTGAATGGTTTTACAACAGCTGCGGCTGTTGTGCAAGCGTTATATACTTTGTAAACAAAGATGTACTGTACTGTATTGTATAGCCTCGGAACAGTGACATGTTGTTTTGATTTTTGTTATTTACTGAATGTTCTTGACTTACCAGGACAAACACAATTGCAGCGAATGCCTTGCTCAATGAAATCGGCGGCTATGGATTTGGTGAGGCCAATCACGGCCGCCTTAGACGTGCTGTACGCACACCGGTTCACCACACCTGTGTCAAGGAAACATATGTCACACGCACAGGCGCGCCCGCAAAGCTGTTATCTGGCATAAGAGGATTGACATGGTCATACAACTGTGCCTTAACTGCCTCTTTAAATAAACATTTGTTACACAAGTAGATCTAAAGGTTGCTTCACCTTTTATGCTTGATGCAACGGAAGCCATGTTTATGATGTTTCCAGACTTTCTTGCCAACATCTGCAATGACAACATTTTGAGGGATGATGGAATTAACTCATATAACAATCGAGTAAGTGCATATGGTACAGCGTAGGTACATTTTATTTAGTATCCAAGATAGATTTCCAATTTCAGTTTTATCTATGAGCGCGGATTGGTGATTGAGCAGTTACTGCTCATCATGACACAGGCTCAAAGTAAAAACAGCTTATCTGAGTGTACAAAGGTTGACAACTCAAGAAATAAACATATGTCAGTCAATTTACAGCTGCAACGGAACAGGATCAAGTGGATTAGGCATTTAGTGAGGAGGCCAAGGGTCACCTTTGGCAAGAAAGCTCTGCACATAAGGTACATGCTCCGGACATTCACATCCATGGTAAAATCCCAGTTGGCCTCTTCACAATCCAAGATGGAGCCATGGTGCACAAACCTATTATGATCTCACACACACACACACACACACACACACACACACACACACACACACACACACACACACACTTAAAAAAATAATAAATAATGTCTACATTCTCATCTAAGCGTATAAGAGACAAAACTGTAGCCATTAAAGAAAGAATCATATGACGTAACCACAATTTATCATTAAAACAATACAACTCTCCAAATTGTGTCCTTGCATGTTACACATCTTACTGAGCTCCTAATGTGAGAGTATGACCTTTGTTAAGGAGATTTAACAAAGGTCAAGGGAAGGTTAAACCTTGCGGTGTAGGGATTGTCGATACAGAGTAAAGTGGGAGATGGAAACACAAGTAGCGTAAAACAAGTGGATGGTTGCACAATTATAGCCAGATTTAGGCTACTGTTATTTCCCGTATCTGAACTGACTCAAAATTGTCCAAAGGTATGAAAGTAAGTATGAATAGCGCCTTGTCTATACGTGTCGAGGATTGGCTAGCGATCAGTCCGGGGCCAACACCACCTTTTGCCCAAAGTGGGCTAGGACAGGCTCCAGCTCACCAGCGACGGTTTATGACGATAAGCACTATAGAAAATGGACTGATGAGCAGGTAACTTATTATCATTTCAGCAGACACCAAAACCACTTCTTGGCCCCATTGGCATTCCTGCCAATGTTATCAATGTCCATTCATCCTCGGTCTCTGCTGATCCTTGCGCCTATTTCCTGAAACAGTAATGACCAGATTTTCAACTTGGCCTGATGACAGCCCCACACATGGTGGACTGTCTGGGCCTTCACCATTAGTCCGAACTGAAGACATTAAAAAAATAAATAAATAAAATGGTGTGGCATAACTTGTTGATAAAATTACGTGGTAGAATTTTTTTTCTCTTATTAGCACAACACTTTTTAGACAACGGTAGGGAACTCCGGTTCCTCGAGAGCCATATCCTGCCTGTTTTAGATGTCTCTCTATCTACTTCAACACACCTTATTCAAATGATCAGCTCATCAGCAAGCTCTTCAGAAGCCTGTAATGATCCCGAACAATTGAATCAGGTGAGTTGGAGTAGGGAGGGATCTAAAATAGGCAAGATATGGCTCTCAAGGAAATAGAGTTCTCTATCCCTGATTTAGAACATATTACATATTGGCATGGCCAGGCGAAAAACAAAACACCTCACTCTCCGACCATTAAAGATATTTTCGCATAGCGTCGCTCATCAAAATTATTTTTTGTTAAAGACTGTTTGAGAAACTACAAAACAATGTTAGTGTTCCTGGAAAAAGGTAAAGTACCCTGCAACATTGAAGAGGACATCTATGTGGTCATGTTCCTTGGCCAAGGCCTCCACTTGGTCCTTCTTGGTCACATCCACCACCTTGGTCCTAATCCCTGCTCCGAAAGAGAAAATGCAGAATGACAAATCTACTTTTTAAAGGTGTTTGCAACCCCGTAATTGCAATGACGGTATATAAATATGAACAGTATCTAAACATCATAAAACTCTCGGGTATGCCTGTGCTCTTGTCATTGCAACACGGTACTTCACCAGCAGGTGACGGTATTAGACAGTCTCTACCTTGAATACCATCCAGTTCCTTGAGCTTTTCCTCATTTATATCAGTTGCAGTGACTTGAGCCCCCTCCTTTGCAAAGGCCTGGCAATTTAAAAAACAAAACTGTTACAAAAGCTTTTATCAAGGAAACATATTAAATATCCCCAAATTCTAACTTGACTGCATGTTTTTGCAGAGGACGGGAGATAGTCATTCATTGAACATGTCTCAGCCCACCTTTAGGAACAACATTAAGGCAGAGTAGTTATTAAAATTCCATGACTGGGTTTCTATAGTTTTAATCTAATTATTTTAGATGATTTTATTGTGATTTTTGCAATGTCTTAATCATTTTTGTTGCTATTTCTGTAATGGTTTTAATGTAAAGCAATTTGAATTTTCTTGTACATAAAATATACTGCACAAATAAACTTGCCTTGCCTAGTCACATGATGTCAATTTCTTAAACTTAATACCCCAACCCTCAATTTAAATTGATTCCAGCTCTAGTCTGGTGGTTACTGTGTCATCAACGATGTTGTATCAAAGCGTCTTTCAAAGACTAACTTGAAATGTTCAACAGACTCCCAACACGACCAAGCCACGTTTAATAATATGCATTTCACTGCAAATGGTCTCAAACCATTTTAAAGTATTCTCTCGGCTTTAAATCTTTCACACTGCATGGAATAATTCAATGCTCTATCTCACCCACTTTCAAGAGGGGTACTGCTTTTCGATAGAATAGAATTGGCCAATCTTGACAAGGACATTTTCACACTCTTCTCTTGTGACATGAAGAGGCATCTTGTAACATCTACAGGATCACAAGATCGCATATATTTAATGTGAATGAGCCTTAGAACACTGCCATGCAAGCAATAAAACAGATGTCATAAACTAAAACTGTTATTGTTGTATGACAATGGCCTAGTGTAGTGTTGAGAAATATGTATACCACTTACGGTTTGCTTTGGAGCTCAGTCATTTATAAAAAAAAAAAAGGGGGGGGTGTACTGCTATTGCACAGACATTTTATCATACAAAATGGTTTACCCAATATGCTACATAATGGGACAACATTAATGTTTGTTGCTTGCATACAGTTGCAATATGTGAGTCAACTCTAGAAACAGTGTTGACTGGCATACAGCAGCCTATTAAATAATCATTTTGCACTGATAATGTGGAACATATCAGTGGGAAATACTTATTAAATCTCATTACTATTGCAGCAGCACGTCCAATCCCCTGTGCAGCGGCTGACAACACAATCACTTTCCCATCTAAGCGGCCCATGGAGCACTGATTCCAGTTGCTATATGAAAACAAGAGCATAGAACAACAATTGACAACAAGTCTGTTTTGTTCATAAAGGCACCATCTCTCGCGGTTAGTTTTCTCAAGCTATAAATCAAAACAGTGGAACCCGCAAAGCCTTCTAAAGTGGTACAATGTGAGCATTTTCATTTTCTTTGGCTTTTCATAATAGCACCAGTCGAAGATAAAAAGTGTGATGATGACAAGAGATAAGGCTAAAATGAAACATTAAGTCAAAAAAAAAAAATCAGGCAATAGCAAATTTAGTTGCGCAACCGATTCATAAGAACACAATGCATTTCAAGCGCACTAAGGTTTGCTCACGTTAATGTACTGCGTCACCTAATGCAGTATTGTAATCCAATTGAGTGAGTCAGAATTGACCAAAAACAGGCAGATTGTAAATTGCGCTCCAGTTTTATAGTGTTTACTCTGTATTGGGCGTTCATATGCATGTATGAATAACTACATGTACTGAACAGGAACTGTAATTTGTTAAACTTAATATATCATCTAGCAGTCACATTCACTTAGTCAGAACTGACCCAAATGGCGCATGTTAAATTATGCAACATTTGCAGTGTTTACGCAGGATTACGGTGTTAATGGTGTTATTTACGTATGGATATAATTGTATTTATATGTAATTTGTATGAAAACTTGCGTCCCTCGACTTTAGAGCCTACAAGACATAAAGTGCAAAGTACAAACCGGATGAGTCTGTGTTCGACGGCACTATAATTACATATTAATTCAAATTTGGGCATTATTTCCACCCCGCTTTCAAAAGCTGCCAAATTATACACACAACACCAACATAAAGGATATAGCATGGTTCCATTTGTTCCCAAAGTGATTGTTCATGTGGCAGTTCGTAACTTAAAAGGTCCACATTGTGAACGTTTCATCGTGTACAAGCGAGTCAACCAAAGTCAACATAGTCCAATGTTGGGAACTAGTTTTAGGAATTCGGTGTTGAAAACTCACCTTGTCTGCAGAATCACAATTGATTGCTTCAGTGAGTTACAGAATCGGTCCAACAATTTTTGCAGAGACGCAATATACACGTGACGCGTTATAAGTTTACAGCTATTGGCTATTAACCCGGAAGTACTCGCAGTATATCGTAACCCGAAGGAACGCCATATAAGACCTATCTATCTATCTATCTATCTATCTATCTATCTATCTATCTATCTATCTATCTATCTATCTATCTATCGTGTGCATTTTATTCATATTATATATTTTTGTGTTAGTGTATACTGCAACCGTAGCATCCTTTCAGTTTAACTTAAAAAATAAAAGTATTTAAAAAATAAAATTAAATGAAAAAGCAGGTCACCTCTAACCTACGATGATGTGTGACCTCCATCACCAAAGTGGTTAGCGGTCAGCAATCTGTAATTGCAGCTTGCGATGAGAGCTTTTGCCATATATCTCTTTTAAAATTGTTCTCATTCAGTTTGTTTCATCTGCAATTCACCGATGGCACTGGCAATGAATGGGAATATGGAGGGCCTATGAAGCATTTTAAAAAGGTACACGTGAGCTACGATAGCAATGTTCATGCATCTAACACGCTGCAAAAGTGTGCCCCATGCCTCCACGTCAGTTCTCCCACTAAGGTGGGCAGTTATTTACTTTTCATAAACTCACACACTCTTGAATCTATTGTATTATTCTGTTTCGTTCATGTTAGGGGGCGTTATGGTTGTTGCTCATTATAGCACGCGCGTGTGTATGTGTGCACGTGCATTGATGGTCGATCGCGAAAGTTGATTGGCTTAAAAAGTAGATATTCGGTCAAAAAAGGTTGGGCACCCCTTCTGCAGAGTGTCTTTACATGAGTGAATCTCACCTCTGGTATCTGCATTCTTGTTTGTTGTGGAAGTGTTTTGCCTGCAGACAGTGGTAAGGCATAGCTCGAGGAAAAATAAATTTTTCATTGTGTTTTCGTGTGTGTGGTTTGGAAAACACAAGCAACAATCCAATCCAAAGAAATGTGGAGTTTAAAAAGCTCATGACTTTAATTGAAGACTCCATTCACATCTAGTTGAGATGTTTACCTACACTTATGGCCAACATAATGGACTCTATACATTGGGGTAAGACCGTGGACTTATATATGACAGTTCTATCAAGGTCGCTTACTTGCAGAGGTGTTTAAAGCATTTCTCAGGTAAAAATAACAAGAAAAAAAAACACAGGAACACTGCAAAAGCCGTTGGAGATCATGCTCATCGTCATCATGCTCACCTATCACTTTCGAGTTAGGAGTGTCAAATCTGACCTGAACAGGTCAGCCAAATGTAATATGCATGAGCTATTTGCCCTTTAGCTGTGACTAGCGCAGCAGCTTGTATTTGAATCAGCGAGAGAAAAAGTCAAGACACCTCATTATTGTCAACATCACAGATGAGTCTCTTGGGAGCCTTTGTGCTGCACCTCTCTGGGGGAAACACTTCAATCAGCAGACGATGGCAAAGCACAATAGAGGTAATGCTGGACTAATAACATTTTGGCTGTGTATAATATCATACTTTGAGGTGTTTTATACTTCAAACAAAATCATCTGTCTGTAATATGTTCACGTGTGATAGATGAGACTCCCTCCCATCTGATTTATACTGTGCTATATCAACAATATTGTACAATATTTGACATTTTCTTTGTGAAAAGCAAACAATAAATTTAGGAGACTCCGAGATTAGACAAAAAAATAACAAATAATTCCACCAGCGGACAGTGTCTGTTGTCTATTATTGCTGCAACAATAAAGAACCGAGTATGATGGAAAATGTTTGCTTTCTCAAATTCACTATATTGCTCCACTATTTTTCTCACTGCCTGGTCATTTTTGTAATAGATGCCTTTCATAAAGGTTACAATTCAAGCCAGGGATAAATGCATGTAGTTGTGCAACAGAATTTGCGAGTCATGACTCTTGCAGTGAACAGCTTCCTGCAAAGTGGGACTGTATGGATCATTATTTTGAAGGCCCTTCACAAATAACAAAACAACTAGGGTACTAAAAGAACAAAAATCCAAGGAGAGCTTTGCTGGGGAAATTATTTCAAGCACCGCCTCTCTCCATTGCTTCTTGTTGTGATCGCATGTTAGTCTGGATGCAGAGGCTTCCTCATTTAAGATGTCATGTTTATATTGCATTAGGTTGAGTGCACTGTGTTGATACCTTTGGGAAAAGAACTACCCAAGGGAATGCTTTAATCTACTTCAAAGAGGTGCCAACGCCATTGTGTCAGGCTTAGGTGCAAGTAGATATAAAACGACAGATGGTTACCGACTGCTTGACACCATCTACATTGGATTCAACTCTGTGTTTCCAGATTTTCATCACCATTTTGCAAGTCGATAAATTATTTTTTTCTGTACTGTATATAATAATATTACTGTAATATCCATGCATCAAAATAAGAAAACACTAATAATAATAATAAATATATGAAATTATATGTGTAATTTCTACACTCGTAAATTCATTTGCAGTTGCTGAAAGGAAAGACCAGACCCTTCACATGCCAACGGAGCTCCAAAACATTTTGCATAATTCAAAGTACTTTCACATGGCGTTTAATCATAGAGCCAGTATTTGCCTTTTCTCTCCCTCAGTGAGAACTTGCTGAAGTGGAACTTTGTTGTGTCCGAAGAGTACTGTATATTCACACAGCCATTGCTGCTTCATGCATGAAGATAAATTTGATGTGTGGCGATGTGAGCGCAACGGCAGCAGATGCTTTTCGACACAAATGAAAATGGATGTTAGATGGCCAATGTGTTAGGTGCTCATGGCCTTAACTCGGCGTGATCAAGGTGTTCCCTTTTCTGTTACAGCATGTACATAGCAATTCCCATCAAGGTATTTGTGGAAGATCTAAGAGCCCTGACCATGTAGAACATTTTCAGAGAAGAGTAATTTTTTTTTATTATATCTTGTCTTCCTCAGGATTGACGGAAATACTTAAGTTTAGAATCATCCTCTCAGCACATCATTGAAATCTTATCCATCCATTCAAATATCAACAGTCCCTAAAAAGTCTACGATGTCTACTTTCATTTACCATGATGCTATACGAGTGAGTAAACACATACTTTGTCAAATGTAATGATGTATGAGCACTGCGCTGCCTTTCCATAGCATCACTTTGTAATAAATACAGAAAAACAATTTTGGGGTCATACACTTTTAATTTTTGCCTTGAGTACCATGAAGAATGTACAATGATGAAATGCTGAGAAATATATTTCAGGCAAAAATGATTAAAGAATGTGGATGTTATTTGAAGTCATAATATTGAAAATATAACGCTTGTGGTGTAATAAACACATTGTGTGGTTTACAGTACATCGAAAAGTATTCACTGTTCTCTGTGGGTACCAGCACTAATTAAAAATTATGACCTGTTATTATTAATCTATGACAGTATTTAGTCATTAAAATGAAAAATGGATTTTTAAAAAAGCAAAAGTGAAGGCAGTGCTTGCTGTAAAGTAAAATGCCATGATTTTTAAAAATCAACTATTGCAATGTATAAAACACAATATCATCCAGGACAAAACAAAAACAAACAAAAAAAACAATTACCACAGAAAGACACACAGTATACTTCAACATTCAAACAAAACATCAAATCACATTCAAAGAAAATAAAAACAAAACGTGAAACATAAATACATTTGACTTCACATTCTGGTGCCTATACTTTCAAGAAGTCTCATAACATTCAGAACTCAAATGAAGGGCTTGACAACAGCAAGAACAATAAACTATTTTTTTCTGTAACTCCTTTTGCAGTGTGCATCTAGTATATGAAAGGGTTTAAAACAATAACTATCTTTTTAACTCTAACATTACTGGTAACGTATTTCTTTATTTTAACGTGAATTTTAATCTATTTATCGCAGAAAAAAACAGATACAGCACATAGAGGCTTTCCTTTCTTACTTTGTGCAGAGACCGAGCAGAACGTGTATCAAATTGCATGGCACGGTTTCATTCTTGATTCTTTTCATTTGATTGTGAACCTTCAGAATTGATGGGTTCAAAATGATATCACAGCGTACACAGAGCACAGTAGAATGATGTTTGTGTGAAGGTCCGGTTATTTTCTCCCTCTGCTTTTTTTTTTTTTTTAAACGAAAAAAAAAGACAGCAGTTTAAAAGCTCCACATATTCTTCGTCTTTTTCACCTTCATTTACATGTAAAGAAACCTGCTAATGAATTCAACAGTTGTGACTCGACATTCATTTCTTACGAGAAACACAGTAGTCCCACACGTCAAATAAAGTTCACAGTTTCGTATGGCTGGAAAATAAACATGGACATACCTACATACAGTATTTACAATCGCCACGACCGATTGTCGGATTCAACCCGCTGAGAATATCATGTCAGTCAAGCATGCGAAGTGTTTTGATTGTGTAAATTCAAGCAGAACAAACAAATAATTGGAATCACGGGGTTGAGACGTTCCCAAAATAGAGGCATAATTAACATTTTGATGGTAATTAGTGGCCAAGGTTTTTGCTGAGCAGGAGTTCAACGTTGCGGCAGGCACTCAATCTGATAAGAGGCAAATTTTATGCACTCATGTGCAGTTATATTTGAGCTATGAGTTGTGGGTAAAATGTAAAACACACTTTTGATTGTACCGATAATGAATCATGCAAGTGTGCAACATTTTCACAAGCCTGTCAGTGTTTCTTCGTGTATTTACAAACTGTAATTTCTTGAGAATAACACACATTTTGTGCAAAAAAAAAACAAACAAATGCTTGGCCATCACTTGCCACACATCTGGAATTTCTATTTATTTTTTTTTTGTTTCTGTGACGTTAAGAGGGCTTTCATCTCACACCAGGAAATGGCCACAACTCAGAGGAAGGATTGAGTGTTGCCTAAACTGTGAACAAGGTAAGGCAACGACTTTTTTACGAAAAAAAAAAAAAAAAAGCCTGATGGCAAGAAATTCCAAACTCACAAAACACTTCTTGATAATGGATCCCAGCAAATCAGTGATGCAGCTGATAGTTGAGTACAATGGATAATCAGCTTTTGATGAGGCAATGGAGGGGGGGGGGCGTATAACACACTTGTATGCACTATTAATACAAGCGCGTGGTATTCTCAAGAAATTACAGTACCACTCAAGAGAATTGCTCAGTTTGAGGAGTCGCGGTGCCGCCATTTGGGGTTTTTATGCTTCCAATGCTGCATGAGGCAGTTGTGTGGCGAGACGTGATGTAGCTTTTCTTCCTGGAGGATAGTGACCACTTCCTTCCGGAGCCGCTGCCATCACCATCGGCAGAGTCGTAAACCACGACCATGGTGGTGTCCATTCTGGAGAGCGTGTACATGCTGCTCTGCCGCATGGGGTGCTGCCGGGTCGCGCGAAGTTCCAACTCGTCGTAGCTGGACACCTTGATGAAAGGGCACCAGCGAAAAGCTCGCTTGAAGCCAGCACGAAACCTGACGGCGCATCAGAGAGCAGAGAGCACAAGAACTTTCTTAAGGGGGGAGAGTGATCAGAGAGCGGGGAGAAAATGACAGCGCCAAGATAAATCAAGCCTCATGCGTGGTTGTTATGTATGATAATGTATTCTGCGGTCATTGACTATTGAGCGGGGCTGTGGCAAGATTTCAACCGAGATGCAGAACTAACGTGGCTGAGATTGTTTTATTGTGTCCCCTGAAAAGATTTGCAGTTATGCGCTGATTTTTAACATAGACAGTTACTGTACAGTTTTTCAGACTATCTTACCATAATAAAACCTTAAGTTTACATGAACATTAAGTCAGGGTTAATAATTCATTTCTCAGAATGACTTTCAAGGACCGGTGTGGCAAAAAGAAATATATAAATAAATAAATCTGTCATGTGTATGACACGTATGGAAATACATTCTGACAATAATGACATATATAGAGAGAAGGGCAAATTATTGGCTTTGGCGGTGGTCTCCGCTCTGCTGAGTGCTCTTCTTCTTTCCAAGTCAATGCACCCAGACAATCCAACCAGATATAATACACTTAGCCCTTTCTCTTTTCATTAGCATGCAAAGATTATAACCCCTAACTTATCTTCAAAGGAAGTATGAAGCCATACATAACATAATCTTTTTGCGAAGCATGTGATCTTAGTTCTTGCATTAACTCCTGTGTAACAAAATGAAAATGCACGGTTGTAGACAAGCACAATGCATCCCCAGTTTCCTCCTTGGATTTTGTCATGCATTTCACAACAAATTTTGCTGACAGTTTTACCACCCTTTGAATCCCTTAACAAAAATGTTCTAAATGTGTCAAAAATGAACATGGAAGTAAAGTGTTGGTCTGTATGGGGGGGGGAAAAAAGTAAAATACAGTAAAATTGTAAACAACCCTGAATGTGATGGCTATAAAAATGTAACTTGCAACTTTGCACTGTAACTCACCTGCTGTTCAGGCAACAATAGATAATAGGATTGTACATGGTGGAGCTCATGGCCAGCCACAGCACAGACAGGTAAACTTGCTGGATGGACTTCCACTTGACCAGATGCTTGTTGAGGCCCGTTACAATGAAGTAGATATGATAGGGCAGCCAGCAGAGTGCAAAGGTCACCAGGACGATGATCATCATCTTCACCACCTGGTTTAAAAAAAGGATAAAAAAAAAAAGTGAAGGGAGAAGATGATTGATATCCACAAGACAATTATTGGATGTAGTAAGCACTAATGCACCATGGAGAAACATAGGTTGGCACTCACAGTAACATATTTTGTGCAGGCGCATTTTTCAAGACGCTTCAGTATGTGTAAAATGAAAATATGCACATGATGGAGTCAAAGAATAGTAATTTAATGATTGTTCTCTTAGATCACCGGTGTCCAACTCATTTTTGTCACGGTCCTACGGAGGGCCGTTATGACTGAAGTTCCCAGCGTGAATTCAAATGTATGGTTGTCTCAGAGGGTTCCATACACACAACAAATCTATGAATGACTAGTTTTGTCACGCTACATTTATTTTAAAACAGGGATTGGAATCAAAGAAATGTTTGCAATATGTCAATGATTTAAAAAGTGAAGACAATTAGCATTTTCGGTATTTAGCAAGAAACATGAAGTTGAAACACATAATTTGCCTTGGCGGACCACATAGTATGATGTGGCGGGCCGGATCTGGCCTCCGGGCCTTGAATTTGAGAGCAGTGTCTCAGATGTAGGGTCGTTCAACACTGGCGGAATGTCAGTGACTAAAAATAAACAAATAACAAATCAAAACCCAAGCTATGTGGTCACGTAAATTACGGCACCATATTGCAGAAAGTTGCCTCTATTTCTTGTAATGCAAAGAAAAATTTACTTAGGGGATTAAAATTAGTATGTGAAAATTAACATTTACAGTTCCAATGGAAATTCTCAACAAGGTCAGCAAAAAGTGACGTACTGTTACACTCTCTAACCTGTGATTATTTAAGACTAGATTTTGTCACATTTGTGTGTGACATGAAACTTGTTTTATTCATTGTATTTGTGTTTAGCATCGCCCTACAATCCATATTGGGTCCAGATCACCATCAATGACCTAAATGTTAACAAGGCCATGTTGTCTGTTCCAACATTCAATCATGGGGCCGGTGTTCTGACAACTTGCTTTTAACAAGTCCCTCGCAACTGTTTGATCCCTGGAAAAACACTCTTGGTGAATACCGTGCGTCTGCTCAGAAGCAAACATACGGAGACAAAACAGACATCGGCGTGTCCCTCCTGAAATGTAAACTCATGCAGAAACCTGTGCAGAAACGAACACATCTGCGTATTATTCAAATAGTCATGCCATTAAACAAGTCAGGCTGTGAATTCTGAGGTGGGAGGAGAAAAGACACTGGTAAATTTTTCCTCCCCGACTAAACAATGTAATAAGAGAAACTTAAAATTTCTCTGAACAATTTAATGAGGGATGCGGATATAATCCCCATGTTTGTACTCCAAAAAATGCTCCAATACTACTTCATCAGCCTGATAGAGTCCTTCCATGTAGCAGTCATGTCAAACATGTGGAGGTACCTTAATCCATTTAATCCCAAATTTTTCCCAGACATTTAAAAGTCAAAATCAGGTGTCATTGGTAGCACTTTAAGTAATCAGTAATAAAAAAAAATTAGAGCCCTGTAAATTAAAACATTGTTGTCTTTCACAAATGTGACCGGTGGGATTAAATGGGTTTAGGTAGACAGTGATGACAGCACTTTTAGACACTGCAATTTAGATAGATAGATAGATAGATAGATAGATAGATAGATAGATAGATAGATAGATAGATAGATAGATAGATAGATAGATAGATAGATAGATAGATAGATAGATAGATTTAAAAAAAAGTTGGCAGATATTGACGGTGTTATCTGCAGGCTGCAATAAACGGTAATAATGTAATTTTAGCCAAATTGCCAGCTCATTGGCCAAAGTTTTGTCTCTCCAGTTTTTCCTGGGGCATCCTTGGGGCCTCCTCCTGATGGGACTTAGCCAGAACACCTCACCTGGGTGGCATCTCGGGGGCACATCCGTATCAGATGCCGGAGCCAGCCCTTTTGGCTCCTCTCAATGCAGAGGAGCAGCAGCGCTACTCTGAACTTCTCCCGGATGACTGAGCTGCTCACCCTATCTCTAAGGAAGAGCCTCCTCCTGGAGACTCTCACCGTTTCAATGGGTGACATCAATCCTCACATGGCAATGACAGTGAGACCTGGAAGGGTGTGATTTGGAAGAACGGCCTCCCTGATCAGAACCTGAGCAATGTTCTGTCCTTGGACTTCTGTGCTTGTCATGGATTGTTCACAACAAACACCATGTTCAAACATAAGCGTGTCCATACGTGCACTTGATACCAGAACACCCTAGGCTGCAGTTCGATGATCAACTTTGTGGTTGTGTGATCGGATTTACTGCCACTTGGTGATGCTACTATGATTAACATTGAAAACCAATGGACACTTGAAGGGGGGACTTCAGAGGTGCACTCTTTGCCTTTCATTATACAGTACACTGTACTCCGACTTGTTTGTCCCCCAAAAGTTAATTACAAAAAAAAAAAGACATCTAATTTTTCAAATCGTTGACCATTTCGTATGTCTCAAATATCAGACATTTAGTCACCCTGCCATTCAAGTGTGTATTTTCACACACTGGAGCATGGACAAATTCTGCACATGTACTTCCAAATGTCAATCACTTATGATAGGGATTAGTGGAAATGAGGCGGAAAAGCTTATTTCACACAGCTTGCATTTGTTATTATCATTCAATCGTTTTTCTGAGTAGTCACACTTTCGCACGGAGCCGATAAGTACAATTAATCATTTACAAACTGCACATGAAATAGTGCACAATAAATAGTTATATCCTCCAGGCGCTATAAAGAAACGCCAGCCATCCATAATGCTGTGAAGTGATGGCCATTTTTTTCCTAAATTTTGGACAGCATCTTTGATTGCCTTTCTTTAAGCATTATTTTATCTGTTGTTGATTCCATTGCTGACACTGTTAATCTCAAATGAGCCCTCTGTCACGAAAACAACAAAAAAATACTGTGGGCATTTTCGTTAACCACAGCAAAGAATTCAGCATAGGGTGTGACATCTAGAAATAAATATCCTGCATGTTTGCATGCTCGCCCGTGACTGTGTGTGTTTCCTCTGGTTACTCCGGTTTCCTCCCACATTTCAAAAACATGCACTTTAAGTGACTCCAAATTGTCCCTAGATGTGATTGGGGGCGCGAATGGTTGTTTGTCTTTGTGTGCCCTGTAATTGGCTAGCAGTTCAGGGTGTACACCGCCAAATGCAGCTGGGATAGGCTCCAGCACGTCTTTGACCCTCATGGTTCAGATAATGGGTGGATGGATTTGGATCTGTTGGAGTTATGACGTGGTCTTTTTTTTTTCCAGACAATGACGGAAGAAATAACATTGTCTGCATAAAAATAAAATAACATGAAGGACTGACCAACTGACAATTACATTTTGGTTCAGCTTGGAAAAAATGATGGACTGACATTGATGGACGGGTGCCCATATTTTTATATATATATATATATTTATTTATTTATTTAAATAATCTAACCATACTTTTTGTCCACAACCGTATCCCTGACCTGTCTGATGAGTTCTCTTTGGTATTCATGATGCGGTTGTTTACGAATGTTCTATAACAAACCGCTGAGACCTTCACAGAGAACCGCAGAGACTTTACGGCGAAGAGGCCTGTAGTTTTTAATTAGGTGACTTTGAAGGCAATTAATTGCAACTGGATTGTATTTAGAGGTGTCACAGGACAGCGGCTGAATAGAAATGCACACCACACTTCAGCTTTATATTCACCTAAAAAGCATTTTTTATTCCACTTGACAACTATGTACTTTGTTCTAGTGAAGGTCGTGTTGGTCTCTCACACAAAATCTCAACGAAATACACACGTTTGTGATTGTAAGGTCACACAATGTGAATGGTATGAATGCTTTTTCAAGGCACTGTAAACAACCATTCACACGCCAGAGTCAAACCTAGTAACAAAGTAACAAACACAGAAGCTTTGTTATTTGTCCTTTAAAAGTACATTGCATGATGCACAACATGTTATCACTCGGAGAAGTGTCTTACACTGTAGCTGACATGAATACATGACACACTGTTCCAAAATATCTTATAATGTCCTTTTTACTGTTTATTGCATTCAATTGAAATTAGCTGAGGGGAAAACATTCTACAATCATACTGATTTGCTTTGCGTTGTTGAACAAAACTAATGAAACTCAATGCTAATGAGCTTTTTAATGCAGAAAAAGGTTCCCGAGTAACAATGTAATTGACCAAAACAGTCTTGGGGCTTTCTCCACTGCTAGATTTATGTTCGTTCATTATACCAATAAATGACTACGCATCAATTATCTTGCAGTCAGAACGAGCATCGCCATCTACAGTCCATTTGCAACGTGATACAGCGAGCGGAGACTGTTATAATGATACCTAAGTGGGTGGAGAAAAACTAGGGTCATAAAAATAAGAGAAGTTTTAAAAATGTTGTTATCATCCTTTGGATAGTGAGATTATGGTCACTTGTCCTTTATTAAATAAACCTCACCCACACAATTCAATTAGAATTCATAGTGTGTGAGGATTTTAATGCACATTTCAATGAGTGCCTTAGTTGTACTGGCTGGACTAGATTGTCTTTATTTCCCATCATGCATAAAACATTTCAAAGTGTTGTTCGAGTGCTATAGGGTACATTGAGGTGAGCTGGCTACAAAGTTTGTTTGTCTACATGTGCCCTGCGATTGGCTGGCAACCAGTTCAGGGTGCACCTCACCTCCTGCCCGAAGTCAGCTGGGATAGGCTCCAGTACGCCTGCAACCCTCGGGAGGATTTGTGGCTTAGATAATGGATGGATGGATGTTTCATTTATCTTTCACTTTGTTTTCTTAATGTATTTATTTTGGCATGACTTCAGGTCGTCTGTAAAGTAGTAGCCATTCAGGTGAATTCATTCCTCAACTTACACTGCTCGCCCAACTGTTGCTTGTAAAAAAAATAAGCCTCACATGATGTTAAACGTCAAGACGAAAGAATTAACTTATCAATTAAACTCA